ACAACCTCATCTTCCAATAAGGCCTCAAATGTGCAGAAAAGCTCAGGAAGCAAAAACATGTTTCTTTTTTCTATACTATAATACTTTATAGAGTTAAAGCTTGTGAGTTTGTAACATTGTAGGGGGTAATCTCTGAATATATTGAACCGATTTAACAATCAATTCAATATATTCAGAATTCAATAAGACTTGAAACCATCACTAAAGAAGCCCAAAGCTTCAGTTTTTTTCAACCCAACAAACCAGTAGATCAATGCAAAACTGAAGAAAAAAGCTCTTGCAATCACCCGAAAAGTAGAATATTAAAAGGGCGTCACAATCATATATCGAGATATTCAATGTATTAATCGATTGACATGAAAAACTTGAGAATATTATCAAATAGATGCACAAGTATCAGCACAGTCAATGCAAATGGAAAAAACGTTCTGTAAAAAATGTATCAAAGAAGAAGGCGCAGAGAGTATACTCTGGTTTCCACTTTGTTTTTTCAGGATAACAAATCCCATAAAAACAGATGAACGGTAGCAATTTAGCGGAATCAATAATGTAATCTACCAAAATAGTAGAAAATGCAATTGTACCAGATACAGTAGTACACATGCACGAGGGATACCTAGATGATTATCCAATATTAGTACCACAGAACGTGAAAACACGTAAAGTATCAGAAAAAAATCACAATGCATATATTCAATGGTTTCAAAAAGTTCCAACAAACGGTATAAATCCGTCGAATAGTACCGGAACAGGAAAACGCGGTCATGGAATAAAAATCGGGACTCATACTAACACGTACTCATCTCAGATTGCATGCATCTGAAATCTAACCCATATAAAATCCTGTTCGTTATAATTCACAGATACAGAAAAATTCTACAACCGCAAATAGACGTCCCGGACACAAAAAGCTATCCCGAGGGATCACTTCATATAAAAACTGTTAGAGTACACTAACGTGCTAATCTCAAATTCCCTAACACTAAACTGAACTGAATCATCCTATGCCCCCATCCTGATGGATGAAATTCAAGGATAACAAAAATATAAGAATGTAAGCAAGCAAATATAAAATGGTGCCATTAGAGTACCAATCTCTGGTTGCGTAATCCCGTCATTCTGTTAGATAAAGTTTACGAATAATAAACATTCCACGACCGCAAATACAATTATACCTGCCAGAACACATGGTAAACAACATTGAAATGCCCCAAAGACCTAAAAATGAACAAACATTGCACTTGAAAACGAACAAGGCTCAAAGGGACACACAAAATAAGCACAAGACGTGTAAAAATATTAAACTTTACGTTCAAAATTTGTATCTTCACGTCGCTTCCCTTGTGTGACCATATTACCACAGGTTATAACAATATCTAATCCCCCGTCGCAACCCTTAACATACCACCAATTTCATCTATAAATCGCTCAGGGCGCAGGTAAATGGCAAGCGTGCTTTTGTACGTGACGAGAACTATAACAACAATAATAATAATACACTCCCCCATCATCCCACCTCCATTTCTAAAGGGGTTGCAGTTAGTAAGTAGTTGTATCCAGTCTATAATCCATTGAAATAGATAAGAACCTAATACGAATAATATAAAATAGAACAAATTATTTCGCAACAACGACTCTCAAGTTCCCAGACGGGAATCGAACTAGCTTCCTTCGAAAATCATTTAGGTATTAAATTAAACTTATACTAATGACAAAACCAATGTCGCAAAAAAATATAATCATATATTTTTTTTACTTTCATATCCTTTCCCTGCACTCTATAGAAGATTCTCCATCGATCAATCAATATATTCAAATCTCCTGTTAATGCCAATGTCACGTAAAATCGAGAAGACACGAAAGAGATCGGTCGATAAAATAATATTATACTAAATTAAATAATAACGTGCAAAAAAGGCAATAAGTCCTTTAAACATCTTGGAGCTACAACAAAAAAACTTTTTTACCTACCAAGGTACCTCTTTACTAATATATTGTCGTCTCAGTGCTTATTTGTCCAAACGACCAATTCAACGAAAAAAAAATTTGTACAGAATTATTGACTTTTAAACGTCAATTCTATTGGTATTAAACACACGTTTTACTTTAAAAAAAAAACGAAAAAATATACTTAATCTACATTCTATAAATATTATAAATACGAAAGTTTGGATAGATGGATGTTTGTTATTCAATCACGCCAGGACGACTGAACGGATCTGAAGGCTTAGTAAGACAAGTGGCAAACGCTCCATATCGATTCTCTTTCGATAAACGCTAACGATTTGGCAATTTCGATAGCAGTTTGGTAGCCAAACGTACAAGGACTTGTCGAACGCTCAGTCTATTCGATCGTTCGACAACAATCGAACGTAGTCATGGTTTTGTTTGTGAACATCATTTTGACATTATGAAGTGCGCTAAAATTTAAACCTTTAAGAGCAACACATAGGGTTTTAAGGTTTTCTTTATTAAAAGTTCACTAATAATTTATAAGGATAATTTCGCCTATAATTATTTTCTACAATAAAATAATTTGCTTTAATAAATACAACAATATATATTTGTCAGACAATAACAACGGTTACCATGGCAACAATTAGTCATAATAGCTTTTATTTAATTTACGCACATCCATCCCACAGTAATGAATAATCATTTTTATAAGTAATAAGTTAATATTTTTTACCATATTTAAAAAAGTTATTTTACATTTTATTTAACATATTATATAATTTACATTACATGAAACGGATAGAATATGATATTATATATTTGTCAGACAATAACAACGGTTACCATGGGAACAATGTTTTCGTAGCGATATCTACAAGGTGCTAGCGTTCGATAGGTGTCGTACGCTAGCAGCCGAATTCGTTTGTCAAAAGTGCCACTTGTCTTCAAATTCTATGGAGATTAATGTACTGCCCTGATGTTTTATTTCATCGAATAGATTAGATCAACATTTGGCTGCCAATTACAAGTTCGAAACGTTGAGTCAAATTTGAAGTCGTAAACATTGATTATTCTGTTCCACTAGCGTTTATGCCATTTGTCTTGGCCTTCTGGATGATATATTCTGCACAGAGATAGATTATAATCGGGAATAGCACATCGGTTACTTTTTATCCTGGAAAAATGTACAGTTCCCGTGGGATAATTTGTTTTTGATTTTCATCTAATATGTATATGATGCAAAAAAGATTGGTCGTTTAAACAAATAAGCAATGAGGAGACGAATTTTAACAAAATCAAATACGACAATCAAGAGTAGCAAAACCTTTAAGAAAGTGATTATTACTTTAATCTATAAAAACCCCACTTATTCTAGTCGAATAAAAAACTTACTAATTACATAAAAAAATGATATCAACATAAAAAAAAACAAATGTGTCTCATATTTGATTAAATCAGTTCAAAAATTTCTTACTTATTAATTTTGTAATTAAAAAAACAATCTTAACATTTAAAAAAATACATGAACCGTTATATACAAACGGACAAGACGAAATGTCAATACAATAGAAAAAAATGTCATACTCCCAAACCGAAAAAAAACTGATATTCTTCTCTTAGATTTACGCGAATTTTTGACAATTTAAATAAAACTATCTTTTCAGATTTTTTCGCGGATTTATTTCAATTTTTGATTCCCGACGTTTCCAATGCTTTACAGCAATCATGGTCACGGGAGATTGAGGTTTTAGACGTCTCAAAGACATTAAATAAAAATGCGAAAAGATAGTTTTATTTAAAATCTAATAGTGCTTATATAGGTCCAAACTCAACCTCTATTCCTTTCACTATCAAAATCTTTCACATCGCCAACTTCTCGACTTCGGGATGTTACTGAGAATTTCTTGACAGATATAACTAAACCTGGCCCGATCCGGGACTCAAACTCAGGACCTTCGGATCTAGCCGTACGGCTGCAGATCCGGAAGTCCTGAGTTCGAGTCGGCTGTCGGTCCTGCGCCTTAGCCGGTAACACCGGTCGTATCGAAATATCATCCCACGTATATCTCTCTCTCACTCTCTCTCTCTCTCTCACGTAGCACTACAATATCTCCTGCAATTGACTAGTCTCAGTGAGATTGAACGCTTTAGCCAAAAACGGTCAGGATTATTATTAACTTTTATACATACCGAATTATTTGCCAAATATTATTATTAGACGAATATAGTAGAAATGCACACATTACAAACAGACGGACACACGTTCCTTTTTATATTAAGAAATAAAAAAACTTGTAAAGCAAACAAGTAAAAAATTAGTGAAGCGTGAGCTGTTATTCATGTCAAAATCAATTAATTTAACATTGGTTTTGTGGCTATCAAGTTGCCAATTTGATAGTCAATCTCTATAATGGTATACAATAAAAAGACAGTGGATATTAACCATAAAAATAATAAGTATAATATAAAAATAACCGAACACTGGTATGTCTTTATATAAATATTTAGAACAATTTATTGTATATAATCTGGATCTAAACGTCAAAATCAATATCGAGGTTCATGTCATTGTCATTGTCACTGGATCAAAATGTCATAGTATGTTTTAAAAATCAGCTAAAATTTTTCATTCAGCCCCGATTACGACTAATTACTGTTCAATAAAAAAACATAGAATTCAGTATAGCCTACACAAAAATGTACGAAAAAAACTGTTTAAGAAACTATGTTACTTAGTTATCTATCCGTCCGTCCCACTCGCCGAAAAACGAATATATATACGATATATACATCCCTACAAAAGAATGGTAAAATTAATACCATTCTAAAAACACGTACAAAAACCCATACAGTAGACGATCACCCATTGCTTCCTTCCCTTGAAAATTAAGTACCAACCCTAGATCCATCACTTTGACTGATATACAGAAAATTTTATGCCAGTCGGAAACAACTTCCTACACCATCACCCTATCAAACCTATAGGTTACAGTATACTGTATGAATTATAATACTGTGGTATCACTTCACATCATATCTTTTTAAATTCCCAGAGCGGCGAGCAGCTCCGGCGCGTCCGCCTCGTACATGCCGAGGCCGATACGCTGGCAGTTGCGCACGCGCAGGCGCCCTCGACCCTCCTCGTCGCACTTCATGAAAGCGCACGCTTTCAGCAGTAACTCGGTCGAAGCGTGCTTTGGAAAACCTGTAGAAAAAAAAAACAGCGTTTGTTAGTTCTCTTGTTTACTTTTTTGTACGTATGTATGTATTCAGCCATTATTAACGTCCCACTGTTGGGGGTGGGCCTTCCTTCAATACGAAGGTGATCAAGCCATAGTCCACCACGATGACCAAGTGCGGGTTAGCGGACGTCACATGTTTTACGATAACTTGCTAGGTTCTCTCAGGCATGCAGATTTCCTCACGATGTTTTCCTTCACCGTAAGGCAAGTAAGAGTTAATCAGGTTAGTAATGATTCGCACATGACAATATTAGAGATGCGAGACCCGGGATTTGAACTGGCTTCACTAGATTTCCCACTTGGCTACCTTTATAGATGTATCTATATTTACTTGTTCTTTATAGATGTATAAATAAAATGGGCAGTGGTAGTCCAGTGGTAACGCAGTTGCTTGGGCACGAGTCAAGCGGATTTAATCCAGAAGCCCGTGTTCAGCAGTGAGACGTTAAAAAAGACTGAATACATATATATATGTACATATATACATAAATAAAACTAATTATTGCAGTAATAGTTCACTTGTTAAATGTTACGTCAATTTAATATCTAAAAAAACAATTATTATTAATGCCTTCCTGAACCATTTTCAGTTTCACTGAATCTAGTCATTGTGCAGATACTATATAGAACTAGCGACTCACCCTCGCTCCGCCGAGGTTCGTCCCTACTTACGTTTTAAAGGTTAGTATATATTTCTCATAGATGAAATATTTTTCCGCGGTAAAAAGTATCCATTATGTTGACCCGGATAACCAGCTATCATCACACTAAATTGCATCAAAATCCCTCCAGTAGTTTTTCCGTAATGCGGTCACAGACAGATAAAAATTCTAAAAACTATAGATTCTGACTTTATATCGATAATAAACAATAATTACTATTTCAATAAGATTTTCCAAAAAATATTTAATGTACAGATTCAGCTTAGTTAGAATTGACACTCTGTAGATTCCTTACGGACTGACATACTGACAATTAATTAAAATGTAAAATTGACGATTCAAAAGAGCTTGAAAAAGTATATTTTGATATTATATATATATATATATATATTAAAGTTGAATGAATAACTTCGAAACGCGTCAGTTTATCGAAAAATTATAAGAGAGCTTTTTTGTAGAGCGTTTAATTTTATACAAGAATATGATTTGGTCTAGCCTTTTTGATGAACCATTAAAGAGTTATAAAATTCTAAGCTCGAAAAAACAAGCTTTCCCATGTTAATCACATGGGAAATTGAAATTTATCATGCGGGATATCTATCTAATATTAATATTGAATTATATTATTATGTTATTTATTATATATTTATCTAAATATTATAATATTTGGCTTTCACAGGATTTTTTTATCATTTCCAACAATATTTTCGATGTATTTAAGAAAAAAAAATTTGTCGATTTTTTGAATCAGTCTAGTGTATATGGTCCTCCGAGCCGGTTGAGAGTGTAATACTTTGAACCGGATGAGAGTATGTGGTCCTTAGAGCCAGATTTGTGTATGTGGTCCTTGGAGCCGGATTTGTGTATGTGATCCTTCGAGCCGGATAATAATGTATGTTTTCCTTCGAACTGGATAAGAATGTGCTTATTTTCCATTTACAGCACTAAATATAGCAGCATAATGCTCAACTTCGAATATTTCAACTACTGCAACGCTCCGCACAATCGAGCACTTTGAAAAGTACTGATTTAGCGTGACAAACAAGTAGCAGCAATACAGTGTTTTTTCGCGTTGTTCGCGTTTGTGCGCCAAAGGGCGGTATTATTCTCAGTAATTGGAAAACAAGGTGTATATGGTCCTTCGAGCCGGATGAGTGTAAGTGATCCTTCGACCCGAACGAGAGTATCTGGTCCTTCGAGCCAGATACACTAGCCACTCACCCCGTATATCCACGTTTAGCGCGAGCGCAGGCAGAGGCTTCATGAACTCGGGCAGCATCTTGCGCACGCTGCCGAAGGTCACAGTCTCCAGGTTGCCGTAGTCCAGGTAGAGGAGGCGCAGCAGCGGACCGCCCGCGCCACCTACCTGCTCGCACAGCATCGCTCGGAACCATTGCGGGTCTAGGGGGTTGAACGTTTAATATAGTTTGTACTAGCGACTCACCGTCGCTTCGCTCGGATCCATCCTTAGGTTCAATTTAATTTTGTTTGAGCCTAATACTCTTACTGAAATAAAAGTAGCCTACGTTACGTCTTAAACCATCATCTACCTGCCAGTGAAAGGCCCGTCCAAATCGGCCCAGCCATTTCGGAGATTAGCCGAAACAAACAGTCAAAAAAATTTATAAGTTGTGTTTTTCTTATAAATACCGTATATAATTCCATATGAATTTAGTGAAAAGCTGTTATTTTGACATTACAAACAGACACTTCAATTTTATTTATCTGTATAGATTGACACAAATCATAATACAACACTAGTACAGATGCCTCATCCCATTCAAGATATTGGACAGAACTAATTCGGGCTATTTTTGTTTGCTTGAATAGATAATACATGTCGTTGATTCGAAGATAGTTAAATTCTTTTACTTTATAAATATGTGCAAACTAATATATGGTTAATATTGTAAAATTCACTCTGCATTTGAATAAAAAACAATTAGTGATATTAACCATTTTTAAAAGTGATAAACAATTCATAAAAAGTAAAAGCCCCATCTGTGAATATACACTACAAACCCATCATCTGATTGCTGATATTTCAATAATCAATAAAATTAAGCAAATTTGATTTACAGGTGCATTGCTTCGTTTCACTTCCATTTAAGGTAATTGAAAAAAATGCAGCCTTTCAGGATCTATTTTATTTATCTTTTGTTAACTTAACACGACTTTAAAAACAAATCGATAGATGTAACGTCTATTTATTGACATTTATTTGAACTAATTTTTCTTTTTGATGATGATGATGAGACCCCATAGTATAATATTTTTAGATAACATGTTTAACCTACTCCTATCGTAATAATATAAATAAATAAATATATTGGGACATTAACACACAGCACCATCTAGTTCAGTGGTAAGCTACGAGGCTTGTGTGATTGTGCATACACTACACATATATAACTTTAAATACATACATATTATAAATATAAACACCCATGACTGGAGTACAAACATTCGTACTAATCACACAATTGAATGCCTCCAGCGGGACTCTAACCCACGACCGCTGGCACCGCAAGTAGGGTCACTACAAACTGTGCCAAACGTGTAGTCAATAAAGTGAAACAACTTACATGGTGGGCATAAAGCAATGCATAACTCTTCAGGCTTCGGCAAATACGGGTCTTTACCCAGATTGCTGTTACAATATTCCTCCATCTGCAACAAAATTATTGCTAAAAACACTTTCTAAACTAATAACATATTAAAAAGGAGATAGAAGAAAACACTAAAAGTGAAAGAAAACAGTAGTAAAAAAAAAGATATACATAAATCAAACAGTTGCTTACTCGGTAAACACCAAAATATATATTCAAATACTCAATATATATATATATATATATATATATATATATATTTGTATGTACATATTGAGTATTTGTAGGAGTTACCAGAAACTAGAACTTAAATCTATACATATAATAAAATTGTAACTAAGCCGAATCTGTACATTAGAAATTTTTTGGAAAATCTTATTAAAATAAAAATTATTATCGATACAGAGGTCGAATCTATAATTTTTAGAATTTTTGTGTCTGTCTGTTACCGCATCACAGAAAAACCACTGGAGGGATTTTGATGAAATTTGGTATGGTATGATAGCTGGTTGTGCGGGACAACATATAGGATACATTTTACCCTAGGAAAATACCTCATTTCTGAGAAAAAATACAAAAACTGCAATGTAAGAGTATATTAATATACAAAACCTAAGAATTTGGTTTTAGGTCACCTCTACGCGGGCAGAGCCACGGGCAATGCTAGTATGGTATAAAACGATTCTCTTTGAAGGAGCACAGCTATACAATCCGTATAGTAGTAGCTAAACAATTTTTGTATTATATTATTTTTTAATATTAAGTGAACTATTTTCTTTTTGGGAAATAAATGTCTTTAAACCTATATTTTATAACTAGCCTAGCATACATTTCTTGTACAATCTCCCACTATAACTCACTCTCTCGCCATCTTACTCCATTCTTCATCAAATTAAGAGTATGATATATAAAAAAAAACGTTTGAAAAATAAATAGATCATCATCTAACATCCACTCATATCAATCTCCCTTCAAACACACACAAACCCCAAAAAGAAGACAGTCCTCAAATTCATAAAGTCTAGACTCTCGGTCGATTTAGACAATAAACCATAAAAATACCAAACTACTCAAATCTTAAAATCTAAATAATATGTAAAACAAAGTCGAGTTTGTTACAACACTTATAACTCGAGAACAGCTGGACCGATCTTTATCTTTAATTTGTTGGATTAGTCTTCACCTATTAATCAACTTAACTATTAAAATATCGGAAAAATTCACGAAAAAAATATATAAAAAAAATACCTATTCAATACTAAACGTTAAAACGTACCGAACGAAGCGAGGGTGAGTCGCTAGTAATAAATGTATGCAAGTGTTTTTTAAGAGGAAAATAAATCAATCTTCATTTGGCGTCCACTCATTTCTATATATACCACAAAAACTCGGTCAAGTACGAGTCGGACTCGCATACGAAGACTTCCGTATCATCGTACAAGATATAACACTATGTCATTTTTCAATACTTATTATTATCATTATAGTTAATAGAACTAAACCCGCTGACCAATACCAGCATAATCGTATTTTTTTAATTTGCATGGCGGCCATTTTAAAATTGGTCATCGAAAATACACACTCTGTGAAAATTTCAACTCTACCTATACGGTTCATGACCACCAGATCCCCGGATCCTCTCCAAACCCTTACTTACCCTCTTCGTGAGCTCTTCCAACTTGGTCTCCAGATCAGGCTGTCGAGGTCGACCGTTGACTACCCCTGACTGCAGCATTGTCAGGTCTATAAAGACGTCTAGATCACACTCGTTCCGGGGCAGTTCCATATAGCTAATGTCGTTCAGCATCAACCGTGGGGTTTCTGTTGGGGATAAATTACTATGTTATAATAATAAATAAATAATAAATATGTTTACAACATTAACACACAACACCATCTGGTTCCATGGTAAGCTACGAGGCTTATGTTATGGATACCGGATAGTTCATATATATAAAACACACATATATAACTTTGAATACATAGGTATCATGAATATGAAACACCCATGACTGGAGTACAAACATTCGTGTTCATCACACAAATGAATGCCCCCAGCGGGACTCGAATCCGCGACCGCTGGCACAGTAAGTAGGCTCACAGCAAACCGAGCCTCCGTGATAGGAATATTTGAACGGCGGGATGATTTTGTATTTCGACAACTTGCTAGGTTCTCTCAGACATGCAGATTTACTCACGATGTTCTCGTTTACCGTATTAACTTGTAGTAATCATTATGAGGAATAATTCTTCTATACTAATATTATAGAGGTATAATTTGTAAGTTTGTCAGTTTGTGAGTTTGTGAGGTTGTAGGGGGTAATCTCTAGATCTACTGAACCGATTTAGATGAAATTTGGTAAGAAGATAGTTTGAGACCCTAGGAAAGACATAAGAAGTTTTTATCTCGGAAATCATCCCTTAGGGAGGTGAAAATGGGGATGAAAGTTTGTATTGGGAAGCAAGCTAGGGAAATTATAAAGAGGTGCGAGAACTTGGGTTTAAACGCAATTAATATGATTTTTAAAGAAAGCTCGTTACTACTACGTCGCCTCATTGCTTATTTGTTCAAACCACCAATACTTGCTTACTTTACAATAGACAGGTTAGTCCTCTATTCCAAAAACAATGATTTATTTCTAAGATTTATATACATGTGTAGATAATATATAAGTTTTTGGCTTTAATTAAGTAAAATGTGTATTTAATACCAATAGAATTGACATTTAAAAGACGTTTTGAAATAAAAGAAGAAAATAAAGTTTGGATGTATGGATGTTTGTTACTCACTCACGCCAGAACGTCTAAACGGATCCGGATGGAAATTTGGCAAAGATAGATTAGCCTAAATAGCACATAGGCTACTTTTTATCCCGGAAAAATGTACGGTTCCCGTGGGATAGATTTGTTCTTGTTTCTCACTAGGGACGAACTTGTGCGAAGTGAGAGTGAGTTGCTAGTAATTTTTAACTGTCAACTCCTTAGAAAATAAGACAAAATCTTACAAAACCATCCCGTATAATTCTAAATCAAAATCTCCACTCACCGATGACATCTCCACCTTTCTCCTCCAACTTCTTCCATTCGGGAGTTGACAACGCCACTATTTTCTTATTCACTGACTCGTTAGTCCTCACCACCTGTAGGTTTACTTCTGCTCCGCTTGGCGCTGATGATGAACCGTCCAAGAGGGTCTGTGGACGAATGTTTGTTATTTGAGGACGATTTACTTAAGTGATAACAGTATTGCGAGGCAGTGGTAGCCTAGTAGTAACGCCCACATTAAGGAAACCGAGTGAAGAGGGGTCAAATCCCTGCTCTCGTACTTTCTACTTCTACCTTTTTCAAACAACCGACACTTGATTTCTTTAGAGACTTTTCCTATACTTTAAAAACAAAGCTGTAATTGTGAAATATTAATCTACAGGATGGATTTTTGAGACGAGACAGTAAGGGCAGGTACCTTAACTGCTATAGTTACAGGAAAACGTTCCTAGGAGACCATCTATAATTATTTGCGATATTCTCAACTGCATTCACAGATTTGGGAAAAAATGTACAGTCCGCGAAAAAAATGCTAAAATACCAAAAAAAAATATGGCAATCAATTCTATTTCATGTAAGATGGGACCATTTGAGGTATGAGTACTAGAAATGACAGAAATAACCAAAAACTTTTCTCCTACATTCTGGTAAGAAAGTCTACATTGGCCAAACTTTTTGTTATGAGTAAATATATATAAAATAAAATTATCCTTTTTTTATTATAAAAAATTCGCTATAATAATAAGATTGGCTTGGCTGGATTTTCAAACTTCGAATTTTTCCAAATTATGCGACGGGCATTGAAGGGCGGCCCACGCCCAGCAGTGAGTCGTGAGACGTGGGACGCGACACTCACCACCACCAGTTCCACCTGGCCGTCGCTCAGTGTGCGCACGTACTGCGCGGCGGGCGGGGCGAGGGCGGGGGCGGAGGTAGAGGCGGAGGCGGCGGGGGCGTCGGCGAAGCACGCGCGCAGGACGGTAGTGGGGCGTGCGTGGGGGCGAAGCGCCTCGGGACACGGATACAGGTTCTCTCTTGTGCTGATCTCTATGTTGCCTGTGGAGTGGATTGTTTTAATCTATACTAATATTATAAAGAGGTTAAGTTTGTGAGTTTGTGACGTTGTAGGGGGTAATCTATGGATGTATTGAACCGATTTAGATGAAATTTAGCATGAAGTTTGTGTGACATATACCTTATATCCCGGAAATCATCCCGTAAGGGGGTGAAAATGTGGATGAAAGTTTGTATTGGGAATCAATACAAATAATAAAATTGTAACTAAGCCGAATCTGTACATTAAATATTTTTTGGAAAATCTTATTGAAATCATCATTATCAATACAAAAGCTGAATCTATAGTTTTTAGAATTTTTGTCTGTCTGTCTGGGAACGCATCACGAGAAAACCAGAGGACAGATCTTGACGAAATTTGGTATGACAATAGCTGGTTATCCGGACCAACATATAGGATAATTTTTACTGTGGGAAAATATCTCATCTCTGAAATATCTATACTAAACGTTAAAACGTATCTAGAGATGAACCCGAGCGGAACGAAGGTGAGTTGCTAGTTTATTATAAGTACCTGGGCTACCGAGCTTCGCTCGGAGTTTTGGGCCGAAAAAACATAAAAAAAAATAAACAAAAAATTTGAACAAATACAAAAAAAAAACAAAAATAAAAACTTTATATCCGAGCGGGATACGAACCCAGACACCTGTGATTGTCAAACTTGCGCCTTGGCCGCTTGACCACGATGCTTATGTCCTAGCGTGCGAATTACCGACCATATTTTGCGTGGAATAATGCGAAACAAAACCGCATGAAAACTCGAAAACACGCGTTTTCCCAGACATAAGACTAATCTAGATCGATTTATCGCCCCCGAAACTCCCTGCGTACTAAATTTCATGAAAATCGTTAGAGCCGTTTCCAAGATTCAGATTATATATATATTTACTCTGATAACCAAACCAAACAAAAAATCAGAATAAATCCGCGAAATAATCCGAAAACATAGTTTTATTTAAAATGTCAAATATTCGCGGAAATCTAAGAAAGTATTATTTGAAAGAACAAATCATAAATGAAAAATATGAACTAATAATATTTATTGTACCAAAAATTATATTTTTACTAATATTAATCTTCATGCCTGACGTTATATTTACCTCGCGGAAGGAACTCGGAACCCCTGTGACCATTCCATGCAACCCTAGGGTTCCGCAGACTACCATTTGGGAACCTCTACTTTAAAACTTTAAAATACACAAACAAAACATACCATACTCCAGATACTCGAGCTGATATTTGTTCTGTGCATTGTTGGTCCGTTTACACAGAGCCCTATACCACAGTCCATCTGTGAACTTCGCTATCACAATGTCGCCTTTCTGCGGCGGCTCTCTCAGGGGACTCGCTGTAAATTATTTTAATATTAATTAATTAAAACATTCTCAGATACTAAGACGACACGTTTGGCTTAGTTCGTAGTGGCCCTACTTGCTGTGCCAGCGGTTGTGGGTTCGAATCCCGCTGGATGCATTAAATTGTGTTATGAGCATAAATGTTTGTACTTCAGTCATAGGTGTTTATATTTATAATATGTATGTATTTAAAGTTATATATGTGTAAGTGTATCAATTATTTGGTATATGTATATATCATGACACAAGCCTCATAGCTTACTATGGAACTAGATGGTGATGTGTGTTAATGTCACAACATATTTATTTATTTAGGTTTATTGAATATCTGAAAACTGTGATTGTCTGTCTGTGATTACAAAATAACTATGTTTTCTCAAGTATATAAATTTATTTATATGATACCGTTCTAAACGGCCTTTTTTGAAAATCTTAACCAATTGTAATGGGACTTTCACTGAAAGATAGAGGAGTTTGTAGACACATACTACATATAGTTTGTTTTATTCGGAAAACATTTAGTTCCATTGGAAAAATTACGCAAAATTCGGATTTACGATTTCGTGATAAAGCCCCTCATAACATTTTATGTGTATCACACCAAGGTAAACTTACAATAACAATTTTTTATCTATAATGAATGTAAATCCATACTAATTTAATTTGTATTCAGCCTTTTTTAACGTCCCACTACTGGGCGTGGACCTCCCTCCAATACTCGGGGGATCAAGCCATAGTCCACTACGCTGGCCAAGTGCGGGCAGGCTGAGCATGTTTTTCAAGGACCTGATAGGTTCTCTTAGACATGCAGGTCTCTTCACGATGTTCTCCTTCATCGTAAGACAAGTGATAACCATGTTGAAAATGATTCGCACAGAAGAAAAATTAGAGATGCGAGATCCGGGATTTGAACCCGCTTCGCTCGATTTCCCGAGCGAGCACGTCACCACAGAGCTATACTAATTTTATATTTGAAAAAAAAATGTGTTTGTACTTATGTACGCACGTAAGAAGTTACACTTTTTGGCGTAACAGAACAAAAATAGCTAAAGATTTCATCCCGTATGTCACAACTCACTGTTTGTAAAAGGAATGCAGCTGTGTGTGAATGGCTGTCGGTGTGCGCGTGCATCGTAAAAATTTTACTCTCATAATTTTATTCCAAACGTGCCAAAAGTATAACTTGAAAAAAAAACCCACCGTCCTTAGCATACAACAGCACATCCTCTTGTATGGCATCAAACTCCTTGCACGAGTCAATATCAGATGGACGGAGGATGACGCGGTCCAAACTAGTGCAGTCTACGAGATAAACCTTCATGTTGTTCTTTATTGGGGGACGTTCCACCTCCGGTATGACTGTTGGAGATCGAAATTGTTTAATACTAAAAAAACTTATAGAAAACAGAAGGGTATTACAAAAATGGCATCATTTTCATAATAATTCTTTTTTTTTTTGTGCGTGTAACGTTTACGCGCGGTTTAAATAAAATTTATTTGGCAAATATCGCAATTAAATTAAAAAAAATCAATAATTGAATAAGGCATATTATAATCATATATTTATAGAACATTATCATATACGGAAAGAATGTAATGTTTTATATTTGTCGGACAATAACAACGGTTACCATGGCAACTGTTAGTCATAGTCGCTTTTATTTAACTTATGCACATTCATCCCACAGTAATAAATATTAATTTTATAAGGTAATAAATTTACATACGTAACTTTAAATGTAAACTCTCTCTTTACTCTGCAACAGCTAAACAGGCAACATGTAAATCAAACTAGTAATACTATACCTTTGCAATCCCCTAACGATCAACATAAAATAACTCTGCAAATCGGGCTTTCATTTGGCTCCAATATATACCTAAATATACAATATCTTTAACATATGTGTATTTCTGTACATATATATAAAAACAAAAACCAACCAGGACTATCCAACCCATCAACACGGGGCCTCCATCTTGATATCTCGCCCTCAGTGACGGGTCCCCCCTCCCCTTTCACGACAGACACCTTGCATTTGTCACCAGTCTTCGATATTATCGTACATTGGAGGTTATCTCCGATCTGTAATACACAATAAATTATAATAAAAGGCTTCTAAAAAACATAGGACCGGTTAGAAAAGGTTGTAATAAAAAACCACATTTTTTGGTATAACAACTCTATCATTCATTCATTCATATCATTAAATTTGTAATAAAATTATCTACATTTTGATGCGACGACACGTTTGTACTCCAGTCATGGGTGTTTATATTTATAATATATATGTATTTAAAGTTATATATGTGTAGTGTATCAACTATCTGGTAACCCAAAACGCAAGCCTCGTAGCTTACCATGGAACTAGATGGTGCTGTGCGTTAATGTCCCAACATATTTGATACTTGTTGGTCCCGAAAAACGATACGAGCAATTAACAACTTCAATTTACCTATTTATACCTGGATGTCAGATAATATGTTCCAAAAAGGCCGCCAACCGTATGATGACATATTTTATAAGTCTTTTACTTTCTATTGATACTAAATAGTCACAGGAAGAGTTCATATTTTTTTAAAAAGATAAATTAAAAATAGCCTGGAGCCAATTTTGGTGACAACCTCTCTGAGTTGTGTTTGTTAATATGTTTATTGTTTAAAAATCTATAATTCGTCTGAAAAAAGAACGAGGGGTCCACCACATGGATCGGAATCTTAGGACTAAAATACATTATAGCAAACGATCATATAAGAGATATTTCCAAATAACATGTCTCACAAGATTAGCCGCCGTTTAATAAATTGATTAAATCAAATCAAATTATACTTTATTTAAATAGACTATAAACAAGCACTTTTGGATCGTCAATTTATTATTACTAGTGATCGCCGCGTGATTGTAAATCAACGATAATTTATTAAGTCTGATTAATATTGAAGTTCTCATTTTAAAGTTATATAGACAGCATATAAAATCCAAAAGAATTTTGAAACGGACCCCTAGATTCAGAGATTTGCACGTACAGACAAAAATTTTCTTTTTTCATTTTTTCATTTCTAAATGTATGTAGTAATTTGTTGTTAATAATTTGTTTTTTTTTTTAAATAATATCAAATTAAATTAAAATTATTATTTTAATTTAATTACGAAACGTCGGGAACCAAAAATCAAAATAATCCGTAAAGATAGTTTTATTTAAAATACAGGCAAACTTTTCATCTTTATATTATGTAAGTACTCGTATAATATTGATGAATATCTAACATCATGCTACATCTTTTAACAGTGAAATAATTATAATATATAAATAAAATGCGCGAGCGGATTCGCGGGTTAAAGAAAGTCAATTAATTTTGGCATTCTGCAGTCCTCTATATAAACTTTAACTATGCTAAAACTCATCCTCCATGCAATATGCTTAAAAAGGTGTTCAAAGTTTTCTCTTGAAGTATTAATATATAGATTATTTTTTTAATTTCAATGAATCGAGGGAACATTACTCCATACCTTTAGACCCTGGGCCTCCAGCACACAGCAGAACTCCGGTATTTTGGCTAACTTGATCGACATAATATGTATGTACGTGCACACTTACCAACTCCTACGTCAATGAAAGGACTTTCAGAAGAGACTCTTTCTTAGACAAGATTCTTCTTAGGAGATACTCTTTTTAAGAGATACTCTTCTAAGAAGAGACTATTCTAAGAAGAGTGTGAACCCAAGCTTCAAGCACTCAGCAGAACTCCCGTATCTCTGGATACTTAGCCGACATGCACGCTCACCGGCCTGGACTGGACTTGCCTGGACTACGTCTCCTGGTTCCTGGAGATGATGAGAAGCAGCAGAACAGAAGAAGCAGGTTGACTAAAGAGATTTTCCTTAGGAGACACTTTTTCTGAGAGAAAAGCCTCAAGCACACAGCAAAATTCCATCGGCATCAACGAGAGCGGTTATGTTGAAAGAAAAAGAGACTCTTCTTAGAAAAAGAGTGTTTCATTTAAGAAGATAACATCACTACATCCATACCTTTACATCCTGAGCCTCAAACAAGGCAGAACTTCATCAGCATGGACAATCGGCCAAGTTGTGAGAAGAAAAATTAGAAGAGTATTACAATCAAGAAGACACTCATACCTTAACATCCGGAGCTTCCAGCACGCAGCAGAACTCGGGTATCTCTGCATACTTGTTCGATATACGAGCACACCTCCCCACCCCGAGACCCTCAGACCCTGACGATGATAAGGTGATGACACGGCAAGCATCGATGAGGGCTGCCAGCGTGGGAGAAACACGGCGCGCGCGGTACCACGCCTCGTCTGCCGGGTCGTAGTAGGAGAACAGCTCGCCTGGTCGGGGTCTGTGGGCATATATACATATGTTAATTTGATAAGATCTATCTATTTAGCCATTTTTAACGTCCCACTGCTGAGGTGGTCCTCCCTTCAATACGAGGGGGATATGGCCAAGGCCATAGTCCACCACGCTGACCAAGCTGGCCAGCTGGCGGACTGAGCATGTCTTTTGAAAACTTGTTAAGTTCTCTCAGGCATGCAGGTTTCCTCACGATGTGTCGTTCATTTTAACAGATTAACTGTCCGCAAATTAGACACAATAGTAAAACAATCGAAATGTTCATATATGACTAATGGGACAAGGAAACGGTTAAGACAAGTGGTAACTATGTCGGAAATGATTCGCACATGAAAATATCAGAGATGCGAGAACTGGGATTTGAACCTTGAATTTTAATACCATTTTGAATCGATCAATAAGAAGCATTTAAAAATAATAAAAATAAAACTTTCTTTCACAGGTTCAAATATACAAAAGTTCCAAAATGACGGTCAGAGATAGTTTCTACTAAGCGACTTGTCCTCGCTTAGAAAAACTATCTCTTGGGAGTGAAAGAGAGGGAGAGAGAAGAGTAGAGAGAGGGAGAGAGAAGAGTAGAGAGAGGGAGAGAAATAGAGGGAGAGAGGATGTCAGCGGGAGAGAGAAAAGCAGAGAGATGGAGAGGGAGAGAGACAATACTAACGCGTATGTATAGCCGTCCTCCTTGCAACTGACGTCGTAGTCCGAGCAGAGCTCGTTGTAGATCGCGGCGTTGGTGGTGTGCAGCGCGAGGCACACGAGGCCGGCGCCGGCGCGGCACGACGCCGCCGCCGCCTCCACGGACAGCAACACCGTATCACCCACTTGCAGAGTCTCCACCATGTAGCTGTGACACAGAAACATACATAATATGTAGGAGATCTTTCAGTCTTAAATTGCACATGACCTTGGTGCAACTTACATATTTATTTCAATTTGGGGAAGGAAATACTTATTTCAAGCCATTTCTATTTCTTTTATTTATATAGTAGCGACTCACCCTCGCTTCGCTCGGGTTCGTCCCTGGGTATGTACAACTTCCCTATTTGAATCGGATATTATAATTTTTTTCATTGGTTTTTTTTTGTGGGACTCTATTTTTTTTCTAAAACAAAAGTAGCCTAAGTTACTCCTTATTACATCAGCTATCAGCCAGTGAAAGTACCGTCAAAAGCAATCCAGCCATTTTAGAGATTAGCCGGAACAAACAGACAGAAAGACAAAAATTATAAAAAATGTTGTTTTCACCGTGTATAAATCCATATGCATTTAGTGAAAAGCTGTTTGTTATTTTGACATTACACACAGACACTTCAATTTTATTTATATGTATAGATAAATTTACTTGTGTAAATGGTTGCAATATTACCATTCACATATTAAAATAATTATGTAAATGCTACTAGATCATGTGCAGTTTACAAGTAAAAGATTTTCTACTTGTATGTAAAGAAAACACCTTCATATACGAATGCTTTTCTTAAGTTTATATATTTATTACATAAATACTCTTTACTATTTGATCAATTCTAAATTACAATTTGTTTTTATAAATGAAATAATTGAGATGTTTAATTATAAAATATTCCTAATAGAATTTGCTTAAATATAAAGATTTTCCATATAATTTGTAAATATTAAGATACTTGAAGAGTGCACGTTGTTTCTTTCTCGCTCTGACACGAAACAATCCCAACCTACTCATTATTATTTTTCGTCGGTGAATAAAAAAAAATGGGTTCGTGTAACCTTTACGCGCAGTTAAAGTAAAACTTCTTTGGAAAATATCGCAAATTATTATATATATAAGGCATGTTAGGCATATTACAATCATATATTTATAGAATATCCAGACAATAACAACGGTTACCATGGCAAGATGGCAATGTATTTTATCTTATTTTCTCGCCGGCTTAATCCTATATATTTATGTGTTTATCTCTTTCTAGTGTCGCATTTTCGTTTCATCGAATTTAAATCACAACGATTCTAAGAAATTTCTCTTCAATAATATCACATCTCATACTCACTTCTTAGGAACTATATTTTTGACAGGTTTTGTGTCTGAAACTGATGGTACATTGGCTTCAAAGTTGACCGGTGGAGTCATCACTGGTCTGGGTGGAGTCATCACTGGTCTGGGTGGAGTCGGTTCTTGCTTCACTGGTTTGCTTTGTGGTTGCACTGGTTTCTGAGGATTGGTTTCTGTGAAATGTGTTAATAAATTGGTAGTTATAAAATTGCTTAAATAAACTGTAGAATATTCATATATAAATGATTCTTAAATCGATAAACCTGATAATTTTTTCTTAAATTTACGCGAATATATAAAATTTTAAATTATTTATTAAATAATTAAAATTAAAAAAAAACGGTTTAAACACTGCTTGTAACAACAATAAGACCTTTGAGACGTCTAAACTTCTAAAGCATCAGTCTCTGCCGTGACCATGTGCGCTGCTGTAAAGCATTCGAAACGTCGGGAACCAAAAAACAAAATAAATTCGCGAAAAATACGTTTCATTCGATAAACCTTTTTTTTTTATTTGTTTGTTTGTACATCATCCCTTGAGGGGGTGAAAATTGGGATAAAAGTTTCTATGAGGAAGCAACCTATAACAACCTATTTAATAAGTAAACACTACAAAAAATGAATCAACTCTAAAATGATATCTAACAGGATACAGTATAAAGATAACATAAAAAAAAACTATATTTACCTGGAGTCTCGAAGCTTTCTTCTTCATCTTGCACACTTTGATTTTCATTGGCAACCTTCGGACGTCTCAGATTGTTATAACTCTTGAAATTTGGATTTCTGTTGACTTTCTGACTTGGCGGGTGGAAGTCCTGGGGAAAAAACCACATGTATGCTTTAACCTCGGGAACTACTAGTACATTAAATATTTTTTGGAAAATCTTATAGAAATAGTCATTATTATCATTACAGAGGCCGAATCTATAGTTTTTAGAATTTTTGTTTATATGTCTGTCTGTCTGGAAGGATTTTGATGAAATTTGATATGATGATAGTTGGTTATCCGGGTCAACATATTGGATACTCTTTACCGCGGGAAATTATATAATATACGGGAAAATCTCTGAGAAATCTATACTAAACGTTAAAATGTAAACTGGGACAAACCCGAGCGGAGCGAGGGTGAGTTGCTAATACATATTATAAATATAAACACCCATGACTGGAGTACAAACATTGCATAAGCTCATCACACAAATGAATGCCCCCAGCGGCACTCGAACCCGTGACTGCTGCCACAGCAAGCACTACAAACAGAGCCAAACGTGTCGTCAAACGTTAAACGTCGTTTCAATTCTACTTACTCGTTTCGGGCGATCAGAGTTATTCATATTGTCTTCACGCTTATCGTCTCGTTTCACTTTTTGATTCTGGTTGCATATCGGAGCGGGCTGTCTGAGCGGTACCGGGGGCGATCTAGTATAAAAGATAAAAATAATATAAAAAACTGCAATAGACATGACTCTTTTTAGATATAAAAACTTTTTAACAAAAAATAAAAACCGACTTCAAACAAAAGCACTAAAAAGTAAAAAATAACTGATTGGTAGTTTTCATTTACTATACATACCTAATCAAATATTTTCGAAGTCGGTGTGCTTTGCTTTGTATGAGCTGGCACCGATTTCGAAAATATTTGATTAGGTATGTATTTAATAGGTAGGCTTTAATTACTTAGCCAAAGCACACCGACTTCGAAAATATTTGATTAGGTATGTATAGTAAATGAAAACTACCAATCAGTTATTTTTTACTTTTTAGTGCTTTTGTTTGAAGTCGGTTTTTATTTTTTGTTAAAAAGTTTTTATTTTTCCCTTTTTAGTGTAGACAGTAGTAGCAAAGTAAGAATTCTAACGTGTTAGGCTTGTCAAATCAAACAAAACAAGCCCAAACTCAAGTATCTACTATTAGCCGTTGAAGAGTTCCACCTATCCACCTTCTGGCCTTATCATCAGATCAGGTCAACAATATCGAACTACTGTACTATCAACGGAAATAGAAACACTCGCAAAGTTTCAAGTCAATATGACAATTAGAAGTAGGTTAAATTCATTATTAGCTATTTTTCCACCCTTAGGGGTGGTATTTTTTTTTGAAATTTAAATGGGACCAATCTGGAAGTATACACTTTCAAACAACACAAAAATTGTCCAAATCGGTTAATAAATGACGGAGTTCTGAGGTAACAAACATAAAAAAAAAAAAAAACAAAAAAAAATACAGTCGAATTGAGAACCTCCTCCTTTTTGAAGTCGGTTGAAAACTATATTTTTGGAATTTTCACGTTATTGATTTAGATTTTTAGATTCCTAACATTTAGCATGCATTACAATAAATGTTTTCTGTAAAGCTTTCGAATTCTACAAGACATTGGCGAAATAATTTGTGCTCAACTGGTACACTTTGAAGCCATTAACAAGAACATTGAATTGAAATCATTCGAAACATCGGAAATCAAAAAACAAAAAAATCAAAACCACTAAATCGTTTGTACGTATAAATCATATAAGGTTTACTTACTGCTCAACAGGTTTAGGGTCTTTGGCGCGCACCAGCTCTGGACCATTCTTTCCACTTCCACTACATAAGACCAAAATAAAAGATTTTTTTTTAAACCGAACAAAAAATGAAAATAAAATATATTTTTTTTTATTTGCATTACTTTTCTTTTGTTCCACTGGAATAAAAAAAACATGTAAGTTTTTTTTATAAGCATTTCTATAAAATAAGCAAACATTAAATAAAACAAAAGAGAAATACTAAAATTATATACAAAACAAAAATCAATACCATATCCCAATACTTACTCAATTAACAAAAAAATAGGAATACCTACTTATAGATAGAAAAAAATGCAAAATACGATTTCTATTGTCTCTCCTCTGATCTGTCAGCTTCATTCCCATAAAACCTAATCTGACTTATTTTACCATTACATCGTATCCACCATGGATGAAAAATAAAGTATATAGATTAGTTCCATACTAGCTTTCGGTGAATCTGTCCATCCCTTTCATTTGTTTGATTATTAACATGCTATCTCTATATTTGGCGACAACGAGTGAGACAACAACATATTTCTGTCGCAGTTACATACACCCCTACTGTGACGCCACTGCAACATTTTGTCATTTTTGAAATTTTCAAATTATAACCGTTGTTATTGCTCATCCCTGAGGTGTGAGAGCCTGCCGTTTTTTATATTCATTTACATTTGAATTTACATTTGATCAAATTGTAGATTAGTATGGATTAATATTGATTAATGTAGATCTAAAAGCCAAATAACAAAGAATTGAGTTGAATTGTTTCATGTAGATTATTGATATAGTTAGATTTGTACTTGGATACAAAACTTTGTGATTTCTTGATTAGTGTTTCTCTTCGTTTGTTTGAGTTTTTTAATGAGTGTTGTGTAAACATGGAAAAGCATTCTAATATTCCAAATTGTCAGGGAGGAACAGAAGGTTCATGCCAGAGAATGCCTCATAAAGATTCAAATCAATTTTAAAACGTATACTTAATGAAATTCTTAGAGCTATTTTCAAAACAGGGTTTATTCTTAGAGTGAGTATATCTGACCAGGGTTCTGCCAATGTAGATGCAAAAAAATCATTAATTTCTGATACTAAGGTAAATATACTTCGTAGTGACAATGATGCATCAAGTGTTATCCATTATGAAATTGTGGGAACAAAATCCACCATATGTACGATGTACCTCATTTACTGAAATGTTTGCGTAATAATTTTCAGAAAAAGAATTTGCTTCTTGGCAGTTGGCGTACTCAATGGGATGATTATGTTCATATGTTGTATAAAGTATGTAGATGACCATAAAGGTGCAAAACTTACTAACAAGCATATTTATCCAAACTCTTTTGATAAGATGAAGGTAATTATATTGTTAATTTTAATAAAATTAAGGTATATATTACTTTAGATCTTAGATATTATCTTATCTTTAAAATTCTATTTAAGCCCGGCCTCGCTTCTTCAATCCATCTATTAACATCTCTGGCTGCAGTACGGCGAAATACTCAACGACTCTCCTGCCAGACCATCTATTACCTAACCCCAAGATCCAACCCACTAACCCTTATCACCATTAATATTGCCAATCAATAATCTAAACTCATCAACAGCCCGGCTCCGCTTCTGCAATTCCATCTATTAACATCTCTAGCTGCACTACAGCGCAGTACTCAACGACCCTTCTGCCAGACCATCATGTACTAATCCCAAGTTCCAACCCACTAACCCTAATCACCAATAATATTCCCAATCAATAATCTCAACTCACCGTGACAGATTATGACAAACAGCACGATGACGCTTCTGCCAGTCCTGCTGCTGACATTTCTGACTGCAGTATGGAGCAACACCACATCTACCGCAGTACGAGTCTGCTGGCGACCCGCACGTGAGGCAAATGTGACGCTGGAGCGCGGGAAGCGACTGTGTTACGATGGATATATGTTGTGTTAGACTTGTTTTTTTTTGTGTAGAGTGGAATGGAGTGGGATTGATGAGATTAGAGGAGTGGAGAGTGAGTTAGAGTTGAGTAGATAAAAGGTGTGCTGTTATTGTGGATATGGGACGGTAAATTTAAATAACCTTAATAATATAGAAAAACTGTAGTGGATTATTCACTGGACGTGGATGGCAAAATCTCTTACTATAAACATAGATTGATGTTACTTTTCAGAATTTGATTATTGTAGATTTGATTCCAAACTAAAAAAAAATATTTTTTTTACAGATATTTTTGAATTTCACCATCCACGCCTATTTGCAGAATTTACACATAATACATATAACATAATAATTAATGCATAAATATATTTTTTTATTCGATTTATATATATTATATAAATATTTGATATATAAATTTATATATCAAACATTTTAATGGCATTGAATAACTCAAAAAAAATCACTGGTTCGATTCCCTTACGACGCAAGTTTGTATTAAACATAGAAAATAGCCCTTATATATTCTTTTCTATTAGATGAGAATTGATGTTTTAATAGGCAATCAATATACAAATAAACATAACTCCAAAGTATTTGAAAGCAACCCCTAAATAACTGTTTTGTCAATTTCCTTCCAGATAGTTCTAACGTTATAGACAAAAAAATGTATAAATGAAAAAAAAACAAATGTCAATAATTGTGCTTTATTAAAAACAAAACTGGCATTCAATAATAAAACTAGACGCTACCACAACGAAAAATTAACAAATTAAATACTAACTTAACACAATAGCACATGATATTAAACGTAAACTAAAATAAAAAAAAATAAAAATAAAAAACACATTAAATCGTACAATTACATTGTTACATGTCAAAAAATTTCACACGACCTTTCCTAAGCAAATGATTCTAATACATAACTATTTCACCGACTTCAAAACAAAGAGGTACTCGATAAAATACGCTGTAAGAAAAATTGTACCTATGGGAGTGGAATGATTGTTTTTAAATTCATTTTAAAGTCGGCTAATTAAAAATTAAAAATTTTTATCTAACTCAGGAATATTACATTGGATCAATAATTAAAATAACAGTAAAAATGGAATGAATTAAAACACTAACTAAATTAAAACTTTTAAAGTAACATATAGAAATAATAAATGCTTAAAACGGTGGAATAAATATATATTGACTTGAATTTTTTGATGGCAACATTGTGGTATTAAAAAATATTAGATAATTATTTGGAATTTGCGTAAATAGATTAATAATTCATATTGTAATGTCAGAAAGTAGAATTAAAGATATTGTATAAAAAATTAAACAGATTAAATAAGAATAATATTCATCATTTAACAGATAAGTAAATGGAAAAGTAGATTTTCATAAAAGAATTATTTTTAAATTAATTATTTTTTTCTTTTATATTAAAAATAATATAATGTGAAGAATACAATATTAATTAAGATTGCTTTAAAATTGAAAAAAAAGTTAGATTAAAGAATAAACTAGACTAAAATAACGTTACAGATTAATAAAAAAAACGAAACATAATAATAATGAAAGCACGGTAGTCATTACTTAATATTCTGCTAATAATATTCCGTTAGAGATTGTTCTAGTCTATGGGAAACATTACGGGGTCAAGGTACCAAAAATAATGTTTTTTTTTTTCAATAAAAAAAACTAGTACCCTATGAGAAGTTTCATTCTCGTTCTGGCTCTAAAATTATGTCAAATTGGTGGTACCATTTACGTAGTCAGTTAAAGTACTAATAGAATACTGTTACTGGCTCAACTCTTCAGATCCTAATATAAAAACTAAGACGTAGATTACTTTATTCAAATAAAATTTCATCATCCAAAATCGACATTTAGAATAAAAACTTCAATTTTTCCCCTCCCAATGTGGGATCAAAGTTCGGACCTTTTATAACAGAAGCAGATTGCTTATCGATTAAAATTGTAAATTTCCCTCTATGATACGGCGATCGACTTTCAACCTTCCACAATTCTGTATTTAAGCCTGGATTTTTATCTTCTAGCAAATCTAAAATAATTTCTAGACCATCATTAAAATCTGGCAAAATATTCGTAGGCACTTTCATGACCACTTTGCAACAGTCATCTATATTATCGCTGCTAACAAGACTTTTTAAAGAGCTTTTATCTGATTTATTCTCGATTGTATATAGAAATGTCTTACTTTCGCCACTATTAAGCTTCAATTCATGAACTTTGGAACAATTTTCATCATTTTCTTTATCATATACCGTATTGGGCTTATTTTTCTCTTTCTCAATTTTGTTATTAAATACAACCTTCTCAGTTAGCACCGATTTACTATCTATATTTTTGGCAACATTCTTGTTCTTCGCAGGTGAATTTAAATCATCCAAATTTAGTTTCGGTTTGAGCAGTGATTGCAAGTGACCTAATTTGAATTCAACTATATGCCCGTCTACAATACTATCGAAACGTTTATCAGTTATTACTTGTGCCGACAATTTGTCTATTTGCAATACAACATCTAACTTAGATCGAGTTTGCACTTTACTGATCTTCCTCCAAAACTTAGTTCTTAGCCTTGGATTTTGATTTTGCAAGATATTAATAACTTCTTCAGTGGTTTTATTAGTTTTTGCTATCATAGTAACAATGCCAACTGCCCCGCGAAATTCGGTAGCTTTCAGTTGAATCTTTAAATTAAAATTGACACTATCTATGTTCTTCTCAATCCAGACACGTGATTTCATATTGCGACAGATAATAAAAATGACCCCATCGAATAAATACATATCGTGAATGATTGGAATGGAATCAAGATCATCGCTAAAAGTTTCAAAAACGATACTTTCGAGATATTCCTTTATAGAATTGAATTGTATTTCATCGATACGAGTTTCGGGATAATTGATGGGACCGACATACAATTTCAGATCGTCATCAACTAAATCTGAGTAATGATTAGCTCTTATACGAGTCAAAGGTACATTCATTATATCTGGATCTATTGGACTGTACATACACTTAAGCAGTTTCTCCTTAATTTGTTTAAATTCTATATCGTCATCTACATTATTTGTGAAAGTTTCATTGCCACTGACATTTTTCTTTCTATCAATAATTCGAAAATCAATCTTTTCTCCTGCATATGTAGCATCAAAATCATCACTTTTAAGTGCTTGTAAGGATTCTGGATCAACGCCAAATTGCCTTTTCTGTTTCCCGGCAACATCTGAATAGAATTTCCAGCAATCTAATTTTATATTGGGATATCTATCTTGAAAATAGATCAAAATATCATGAGACTGTAAGTGGGCAATTTCTTTTGGCACCCTCATGACCACTCTCGTGTATCTGACTAAATCATTAACATTTCTAAATGTCAATTTTAATCCGGTAGAATTAATGAATTTTGGCAACAGCTCAGTTAAATAATCCTTAGTTTCTAAACTATCACAAATGTAAATCACAGCGCCATTAGACAGATACACATCTTGGAATTTCGGAATGATCAAGTTTGGGAAACGTTGCACTTTCATGTCTTTATGGAGAGTATCCTTGAATAAATGTCTAAACCGCCTTATGTGGGAACCCTCCAACTTCTCTTGCGGATAACCTTCTAAAACTACGGCAATTTTCAGTTCATTTTCAACATGCAAGTAATTCGTACGTCTGTGGTACGCCATGCCTCTACTACTATCGATATTCAAGTTACTATTTCTACCAACAATTATATCATTACTCTCTGCAATGATCTCAGATTGCTCTGAATAAGCGATACCAGATGTGCCAGTTTCATTTATTTCGACCTCATCAGTTTCCAATTTATCCAATTCAATATTTATAGATACATCATTATTTACATTATCTTGCACGTTTTCCATATCACCACTTTTCGTTACTGTTACATCTAGGACTTTTTCAACTGTATTTTCATTATTTACTTCCTCAATTTGAAAAGTTTCTTCACTTTTATCTGGCACATCATAATCTACATCTTTTATATGTTTATACGTTTCAACAGTATCAACGCTTTCGTTATCCGATTTGTTTCTTTGTGTATTTTCATTACTTTTAAGTTCATCTAACAACTTTACCCTCGACGCTACGCTAGACAAATCCTCCGTCATATCCGAAAGGTAGCAATCATAATAAATTTCAGTATAACCATTAATCTCAAACTCCATTAGTTTATAATCTATGACATTTTTGAAATTAGGCCCACGAATAATTTCACCGGAAACCCGATCTATTATAAACGACGTACACTCTACATCATCGATCGATTTTTGCGCGTATACTTTCCACAAGTGAGTTTTTAAAGTAGGATTGAAATATTGCAGGAGTTTGAACGCATCTTGAACGGTGGCTGGCCAACATGATTTGGGGATTTTGATCATAGCCAGACACAATCTCTTTACTTTCGCTTTTAGCAAAATCAAATCACAACACATACGCTCTTGCAATCCTGGATAAACTCTAACCATCCAATCGCGACTGTCCACATCCTTACATATACACACAATAGCACCCCTATTAAGATAATAGTCCAAAAACGATGGTGTTTTCTTTAAAAGTCCGCTTTTCGCTTGCATATCAATAATATCATTTAGACATTTTTGAAACAATTCCATTTGCTTCAAACGCATTTTAGTTTTCGGGTAACCAGATAAAGCAATTACAACTTTAAGACGTTCCTCGACTATATCTAAGTAATCTACATTTCTTAACTGAATAAGTCTATTAGTTTCATCCAATTCGTCATTACTATCGCTATCATCAGAACGTTTCGTTTCACTTATTTTAGTTATATCTACAACTGATTTGGTTACTTCTGTTTGTCTATCTATTGATTTAGTTACAGTACTCACTGAATACCTCTCAGTGTATCTGACCTTATCTTTATTTCCGGTGGGCGTAGCCGTACTTGAGGTAGTGGGTTCTATCCAGGCTCGGTCACAGGAGCATGTCATTGTGATCTGTCGACAAATTGTCGATTTTAATGGCTCTTGATTGCTAAATGTTGTATTTAATGTTAAGGTGATCATGCAAAATGTATAATAATTTAGGTAAAGGTCGATTATATTGTTACATATTCTATTTAATGTTTGTCCTATTCAATTAAACTGGGAATCAAACCCGCGACCAACTGCTTATAACCCTAACTATCAGGAAGGAAATTTTGACGGCATTAAAGAAAACCTATACACTTTAGTTATTTTTTTTAACCAAATGTCAATCAATTTCAATATTTTGCGAAATATATATATTTTATAACATCATTTTCAAAGGGCTTCTCGAATACTTATTCTAAATAATGATTAAAAATATTTCTAACGATTCCCATTATAAACTCGTACGATATTTACCTAAATAATACTTTTATTGTTATATTATAATAACATGCTGCCATTTTAATTAACATTCTTCAAAGCTACAGGTATGGGGTAAACTAAGTATATTTTTTTAAAATAAAACTATATTTTCGCATTTTTTCACGTATTTATTTTGATTCACGTATTTATTATGGTCACAGAAACGTCGGAAAACGAAATAAAATAAATTCCTGACAAAAATCCGAAAAGATAGTTTTATATACTAGAATCTAAAAAAATATTATTTTTATTAATTTACAATAGAAAAAATATATAAGAAACTACAAAATGACAATTTAAGAAAATAAACAAAAACTACCAAACATAATTTCGATAACTTTAATCGGTAGATGTACTTCCAAAAATATTTAAAAAAGAAGTTAATTCGAATAGCAGCACGTTATATAATTTTTTTTTCATCAAAACGAAATCTCACAGAAATCGTTCCTTACATAGATAACATACAAGCATTGCCTTGCGCGAGAACCGAACCCGTAACTTCTTTCATAATAACCAGTGCCAGTCACACTCTAAATGTGTGTAGCAGATCAAAAAATAGAGACTGGGTTATATGCAATACAAAAACATCTAAATATACATATATAATATAATGTAATAATTATTTTAGCTTTACTACATTTAGCGGTAGATTTTTTTTTTAATTTAAATTTTTCGAAGTATAAAAACGTCTTTAAAAAAGAATCTTACAAACCAATCGAGTGAGGTATCAAAATATAGATTTTCAAGAGGCGATCACAAAAATATATATACAGCTTATATGTTTAAAAGTAATTTTGGATAAAAAAATGCTGAATATTACTTCGAATGTCTAATTGGCAAAAACCAAAAAGCTGTAAATAAAAATATAGGTATATTATAAAAAAAAACCGACTGCATAAAAGCTAACTAAAAAGATGAAAACAAGTTCACGAAGGAATATAGTATTATAATAATAATAGTAAATATGTTGGGACATTACACACAGCGCCATCTAGTTCCATGGTAAGCTACGAGATTTGTGTTATTGATACCGGATAGTTGATACACTACACATATATAACTTTAAATACATACATTTTTTTTTTTTTTATAATATAAGCGAGCAAACGAGCAGGCGGGTCTCCTGATGTTAAGAGATTACCGCCGCCCATGAACATTTGTAGCACCGGAGGCACCACTAATGCGTTGCCGGCTTTTCAGGACTTTATTGGTCCGCCCCTTGAATAACCCCATGTTGTATATTATAAATATAAACCCCATGAATGGAGTACAATCATTCGAGCTCATCACACAAATGAATGCCCCCAACGGAACTCAAGCCCACGACCGCAGGCACAGCAAGTAGGGTCACTACAAACTGAGCCAAACGTGTCGTCGAACTTTATACTAAAAAAACAACATAAAGTATAAAACTTACCGAGTCACCAGCAGCCGAACCGAACGCATTGTCACTCAGCCTGCAATTAATATGCTAGAAGATCAGTACATCTACTCTAATATTATAAAGAGAAAAAAAATGTTTTTTTGTTTGTATCGAATAGGCTCCAAAACTACTGAACCGATTTAGATGAGATTTGGTAAGATAGTTACCCTATGGACATAGGATAGCTTTTATCCAGGAAATCATCCCTTAAGGTGGTGATAGAGATATAATAGGGGTGAAAGTTTGTATGGTTAAGCAAGCTAGAGACGAACCCGAGCGAAGCGAGGGTGAGTTCATGATATTTATTAACAAAATATATGCATGCAATTTTACTTAAAAATAAAATTAAACTGTCCGTTTGTAATGTCAAAATAACAGCTTTTTACTAAATGCATATGAAAATATATATGGTACCTATAAACATAACTATAAAATTTCTGGCCTGTATGTTTGTTCCCGCTAATTTTCGAAACGGCTAGACTGATTTTAACGGGACTTTCACTGGCAGATAGCTGATGTTATATGGAGTAACTTAGGCTACTTTTATTTTAGACTGAGGAAGCATATTGTTGTACTTTACAATAGATATTTTGTCCTCCATTTTAAAAACAAAGCTTTGTTTCCAAGATTTATATACATTACGTATAGAGATGATATACGTCTTTTTCAGCTTTTTTAAAGTAAAACGTGTACATAATACTTTCTTAGATTTACGCTAATATTTAACATTTTAAATAAAACTATGCTTTCGGATTATAAATCCGAAAAACATCTAAAATAAATACGCGAAAAAGTCCGAAAAGATAGTTTTTAGGGTTCCGTTCCCAAAGGGTAAGGTTCCGTTCCCAAAGGGTAAAACGAGACCCTATTGCTAAGACCGCTGTCCGTTCTGCCACCAGGCTGTATCTCATGAACCGTGATAGTTAGACATGAATTTCCGTTGCCGCTATGACAACAATATAATACTAAAAACAGAATAAAACATATATTTAAAGGGGCTCCCATACAACAGACATGATTTTTTGCCGTTTTTATAGATAATACAAAACCCTTAGTTCGCGAGTCCGACTCGCACTTGGCCGGTTTTATTTACAACTAGTACTTTATACCAATAGAATTGACATTTAAAAGACAGTAATACAGTAATTAAAAACTCTTACAATAAATTGGTACTTTGGACAAATAAGCACTGAGACGACTTAGTATGTATATGTATATGTATGTTTGTATGTTTGTATGTTTGTTTGTTTGTTTGTAACGGCTATGGAAATTCAGTACACAGATAGACTATGAGCTGGAGTAACATATAGGCTGCTGTTAGACACCTAGGAACTTCTATAAATTATATACATATAATATTACCGTTCATTATCGTTTTTGACGACGATCCTGCCATCAGGGAGTATGCACATGTTGCTTAAGGGCTTTTGCACCTGTAACAAAGAAAAAAATATAAAGAAAATGCTATACAACATACAAAAAAAAATTTTCTCTCTTTATAATATCAGTACAGAGTATAAAAAATTAATAAAAATTCTCAAAACACAGTTCCGTTTATCACTTCAGTATTATACACTTTATGACATTTAAAATAACATACATCACTACAAAATACATGTAATTATTGTAAAAATTATTATTCAATAGTTATACTAAATGACTAAAAAATAAATATACAGGAGCCCGCCAAAAAATGTCAGAAGTCAAAAACAGTAAAGTGATTGCTGTTTATGCTACTATTCTAGATTTTGCCATACAGATCATTTACTTTATGGAAGGGTTTAGAAGTATGTATAATATAAATAATACTATATTGATTGATTCGCACATGAGAATAATATCAGAGATGCGAGACCCGAGATTTGAACCCGCTTCACTCGGATTCCCGAGCGAGCGCGATACCACTGAGCTACCACTACTTATAAAAAAAATCTTAGGCACTGTACTTACAGGTTTCTTCCCAGCTTTTTTCAGTGATAATAATTGCTGTTTGCATTTTATTTGTTCCGCCTTTAGTTCCAAATACTTCAACTTCAGGTTGACTTGTTCCAATTCCGATTCTGTTTCGGAGCCATCTTCGAGACTCTGCAATGTTATAAATAAATATAAATAAATATGTCGGGACATTAACACACAGCACCATCTAGTTCCATGGTAAGCTATGAGTCTTGTGTTATGGATACCAGATAGTTGATACACTACACATATTTATATAATTTTAAATACATACATTTTATAAATATAAACACCCATGACTGGAGTACAAACATTCGAGCTCATCACACAAATAGATGCCCAAAGCGAGACTCGAACCCGCAACTGCTGTTTCTGCAAGTAGGGTCACTACAAACTGAGCCAAACGTCGTGTCGTCGTGTTATAATTATTATTAAAACTATTATTAACATTACAAAAACCCTGTTCAGCCTTAAATTACTCTATCGTATATGACTGAGGGCTCGTTTTTTTCAGTTTAAAGTGATCCTTCCAAAATACTTGCAAGAATAAATATTAGGAAGAATATACATTGATTATTTCTTGAGATATGGTATATTTTCCATTTCACGCCAATCAGCCGCCAAATTAACTTAAGTTTTTCAACACAATAGTCCATACAGATAAATAAAATTGAAGTGCCTGTTTGTTATGTCAAAATAACAGCTTTTTTACTAAATGCATATAAAATTATATACAGTAGGTACTTGAAAGAAAAACACAAGATTTAATTTTTTTTGGTCTCTCTATCCGTTTGTTCTGGGTAATATCCGAAACGGCTGGACTGATTTTGACGAGACTTTCACTGGCAGATAGCTGCCAGTCTGTCTCTCCCGTGACCATGATTGCTGTTAAGCATTCGAAACGTCGGGAACCAAAAATCAAAATAAATTCGCGAAAAAATCCGAAAAGATAGTTTTATTTAAGATAGCTGATATTATGAGGAGTAACTTGGGCTACTTTTATTTTTAAAAAAGGATTAGGGTTCCACTCAAAAAAACGCACTCGACCGAAGCGAGGCTAAGGCGCTAGTATGAAATACAAATTATTTATGCTGTCAATACAATGAATAACATAAATGGGCAAACATTTGATTTTACTTTTAACATAACAAATCTATACATATAATAAAATTCTACCTAAGTCAAATCTGTACATTAAATATTTTTTGGAAAATCTTATTGAAATAGACATTATTATCAATACAGAGGCCGAATATAATAGTTTTCAGAATTTTTGTGTCTGTCTGTTACCACATCACAGAAAAACCACTGAAGGGATTTTGATGAAATTTGATAGGGTGATAGCTGGTTATCCGGGTCAACATATAGGATACTTTTTACCGCGGGAATATATCTCATTTCTGAGAAAAAATACAAAAACTGCATTGTAAGAGTATACTAATATGTTAAATCTAAGAATTTGGTTTTCGGTCATCTGAACGCGGGCGGAGCCGCGGACAATTCTAGTTAGTATAATAAAAGAAGAAATATTTTCAGTTGGCAGTACTTACCAAGTCAGCATCATCTATGCTTTCCTCCAAGTCATTGCTCTCAACCGGCTCTTCTTGCTTTCTGCAACAAAAAGAAAATTAAAAATATTAACAAAATTATATCAACATATATAATTATTATTTTAAAGTTTTATGATTCATTCTGCTATAGCTATAACATCAGCTAACTGCCAGTGAAAGTCCAGTCAAAACCAGTCCAGCCGTTTTGAATATTAGCTGGAGTAAACAGACAGACAAAAAAAATGACTACCTAACAAACGGCTTTGGCTCATCTAGGGTATTTTTTATTTTACTCATGAAAATTTTTTTTATAAAGGTAGTATTTCCAATTAAAATATTCTAGTTACTGGTTGTGAGCTATTTTGCTCAACAAGATACTGTTGAGTTTCTATAAATGTAGAAATATATGATACTAGCGACTCACACTTCACTTCTGGTTCATCCCTAGATAAAAGCATAGCTATTCCATGGGAACTGTACATTTTTCCAGGATAAAAGTAACCTTTGTGTTATTCCAAACTATAATCTATCTCCATGCCAAATTTCATAAAGATCCGTTTAGCCATTCTGGCGAGAAAGAGTAACAAGCATCCATCCATCCTCACAAACTTTCACAATTATAATATTAGTATGGATAGTCAAACTTTATTTCAAAAAGTTAACAAAATAAAGCCATATAAGCTTCTAAAATAGGACATTGTATAAAAAAAATCTCCGAAGATAAAATACTTGCTAATTTCTGAGATTAGCACATACAAACGCACAGATAAACAGACAAAAATCCTAAAAATTCTATGAAGACACCCAATAATAGTTGTTCTTAAATATCTTCCATGTACAGACAGCGATCAGTTACACTTTTATTACATGTATAGACTATATCCTTTTCCTACAGAGATATAGATATCTTAAAACTAACTTCAAATTCATTATATATGGTTATTTTCTCAGCAATATTATAAAACTACCATTAAAACAGTTTATGCATTGGAAAAAGAATCAGTAGACATACATTCAAATTTAGTACACTAGCAACAACTAGCACCTTTGAATTTCTGTCCATCCCAAATGTTAGATTCATTTGACAAGAAAGTTATGTATGTATATAAAACCTCAGACCAATAAAAAAATTTATTGGTTTGAGTATAAAACCAAGAAAGTCTGTAACTAACAAATTCAATATACATATAGATTAAACACTTATCATTAATTTAAATTAAAATATATTCTTCTATTTAATATTTCAATCACTCACTATAATAGTATTACTTTAGTAGATACATATTTAAAACATTATCTATAAAAAGTAATGAATGAAATAAAATGTACAAAAAGTTTATAACAATTATAACGGACACTTGTTGTAGCGAAATTTTAAGCAACATAAAAGTGACCGTTGGTTTATTGTTATTCATTGAATATTATAACTAATTTATATATTTTATGAGGTGAATGTATACCTATATCTACCCGAAACTTTTCTATTTAACCGCCATCTTTATGCCGCAAATACAATAATAATACTACAAGACAATAGAAATTTTAAAATGAGAAACGTGTTTTATGTGTTTTATTTATTTTTCACAGTTCTTACAAAACTCTGATGTAAGATAAACAAAACTTTAATTTTACAACTTAGCAACTTACATTTCGTTATCAACCTCCTTCAATGAGGTAAAATACTTATTCAACATATTATTTATCACTAAATTTACACACTGACTTCAAAACCAACTAATATTACTTGAAAGACACGCTTTTAACACAAAATAATTAATAAAATCAGCGAAATAATTTAATAACATTCAAAAACACGAGGAACACTTCGTACTTCGAAGTTCGTTCAAAATTTTAAGTAAGCAAAATGAGTTGGGATTCAACATTTCAAGCGCTTGACGCACGTAAAGCGTTAATGCATTAGATTTAATGTATTAGACGATCACTTTAGTACCAAACATGTTACAGCGCTTAAGCGCTTTAAGCGCACATATAACGAAATCTGATTGGTCGAACCAATAAAAACAAAATTGAAAGCTAATAATATTGGTAGAAAAATTATAACATTTTAAATACATTATATAATTACATCAATTGTTCCTATTATGTAGTCAAAAATTAAAAATCTATTTTAACCTAATACTCGTACTAATAATATTAAAGTTACTTAATTTTTTTACCCCCGATAATTTATGGTCTTGGCGTTTCACATAAACCATTATTTTCTGATTTAATTTGTATTCAATTCCATAAAATTTAAATCAAAAAGTTCAAAATAAGCGAGCGAAATTCAAAGCGAAACGCATTACCATCGCTTGAATAGAACCATGACGTCACATGGCATGTTATGTGTAGTGTTGCCATTTTAGCGACTTTATCGCTAGATATAAAATCTTATCTGGTATACTTATAATAATAGTGTTTTGGCATTCCTGCAGTGTATTCAGCCCTTTTTAACGTCCCACTGCTGGGGGTGGGCCTCCCTTCAATACGACGGGGATCAGGCCATAGTCCACCACGCTGGCCAAATGCGGGTTGGCGGGGGTGGCTGGGTTGGGGGTTCCTGCAGTACTAGACTACATCTATAAAATAGTTTTTTTAGCTTTTCCCATTATCGAAATAGCGACTAAAATCGAAAATCCTTAACTAATAACAGCTGTATATGCATATAGTGAGCAACACTGAACGTGCCCTGTGACTTCACCTAAACGCGCGAAAAATGGGGACATTCAAACAGGTTAAATAAGTATTTTATATATATAATTTATGAATTAATTTAAGCACTTTCAACAGTATTTATGTTTTTACTATATTATAACGAAGTAAAAAGTGAATTAAACAAAAAATCAATGCATATTTTCTATTATCGTATCGATTTAAAACTTCATAGCTATTTGATACTTAGCAAATAAAGAAGATTAAGATTACAGGTAGGTATAACATTTAAAACACACTAATATTAAATGTAAAAGTTTGTTTTTGTGTGTATGTATGTATGTATAGGATTTTATTGCTTCACGCAAAAACAGCTGGATAGATTTAGATGAAATTTAGAATACATATTTAGAAAATGACCTGTTACCGCATAGGCTACCGTTAGTTATGAAATTTACCAAAAGATGGCACTACTTGTATATACTTAATATTAAAAATACAAAAGGCTCCCAAAGACGAATTCGAGCGAAGCGAAATTAAAAAATAAACATGTAAACAAAAAATATAACGGCATCAAATTAAGTTCAGAGCCAATATAAAGGGTCCCTTATAATAATGGAAAAACAAGTTCCAGCATGGTGTCCTTGAATTTGTTTTACAAAATTCTTTAGTGAATTAGAACTAACAATACAATTTATAGCATACACTAGCAACTTTTGTTCACAAAATTAAGTTCTTCGTTCCCTAATTCTTTTTCTAAATTAAAAGTAGCCTAAATTACTACTTATAACATAAGCTATCTGCCAGTGAAAGCACCGTCAAAATCGGTCCAGACGTTTCGGAGATTAGCAGGAACAAACAGATTACGAAAAATTTAAATTTTCTTATAAACTTTCACATGCATTTAGCCAGCTCGAGTTCGTCCCTAGTGAAAATTTATATTTTTATGAATTTTTAATGCCGAATCATAAAAACAAATATTGTCCAAAAAATTAAAATAAATTTTTGGGGTGGGCCACCCTTATCACTTAGGGGTATGAAAAAGAGTTTACGTCCTATTCTCAGATCTACTGAATGAATATACACATAAAACATAAGCAATCGGTCAAGCTGGTTCGGAGTTTTGTTACAAACACTGTGACACGCGAATTTTATATATTAGTTAGTTATTAGTTAAAATTATATAATAGAGTAATTGCAATAATTTAACTGATACATCTAGATCATCTACTGATAGATGATTTCATATTAAATTGAGGATAAACAACAAAAATTCTTCAAATAACAGCAACAACAATTAATACATCTTTATTACTAAGACCACTTTTTAATAAAGAATCATGAAAATCGGAACATGAGTATGAAAAAATACCCATAAATGGAGCGTTTTCCTTTTTTTTTTTAAACTCAGTAAAACACCAGTGCGCATGCACGAGACGTGGAGGTCAAAATGACATTAGGACGCCATATTGCGCCATTACTTTCAAGATGGTGGGTGCAAATATACGCACGCACAAAAGCGCCCTCTCTACATCTCAAGCAAACTCTATTCACTTACTGCGCAAGTTCATATAGCTGAAGCGTTATTTTGAAATAACATGGAGATGGGTGTGGTCGAACGCGGTAGAAGAAGCGGTGAGTCACAATTGAAATTAAATAAAACTAAAATATTAACATGCATTATAAAAGTACCGTTAAACATTAGAAAAAATTTAAACCGCGTTTGAGCCTCATTGTAAAAACACGTAAAATTTGCTTTGTCAAATTCTAATCTTTGCTTAGGCCTGATAGCGTATAATTTTAAATATGCATTCGATTATTAAAAATATTTTTATGAAATCTATACTAATATTGTAAAGAGGCAGAGTTTGTTTGTTTGTTTGTTTGTTTGTTTAAACGCGCTAATATCAGGAACTACTAATCCGACTTGAAATTTTTTTTAACGTTATTTGTTGAGGAAGACTATATAGGCTATATACCATCCCGGAAAAATATACGGGTCCCGTGGGTAAATTTGTTTTTGTCTAGGGACGAACCCAAAGCGAAGCGAGGCTGAGTCGCTAGTAATTATATGACATAATATATTAGGTAAAACAACTAATATTACAAAAAAGGAATACCTGTATTTAAAGAAGACGGTTCCTTCTTCAACCGTTATTCTAAAATCTTCTTCAAAACTAATAGAAGATATAATATAATAACTCACTTAAAGTAAATTTTCCCTTTACTTGAAGGTATAATTAAATGCAAATACAAGAAAATTAAATCAGAATAGTAGTAGGTATGCAAGCGCACTGAACCTTATCACGTCCGACTATCAACTGACGATGCTCACAGCGCGATGCCATCTCAGATTTTATTGATCAACGCCCACGTCCAATATATCTAGGACATTCTAGGACATTTCTAGGACTTCACACTCCCTATTTAGCCATGACATGGCCGCCATTTTGATTTAAAATGGAACTGTCCATCATTTGTTGATGCTTCTCACCATCTCCTACTTGCTTATGTATTACGTTAAAACACTCGTGGAGGTACGCGAGATAAAGGTATCAAAATCATCTAAAATCTTTAAAATTGATCAGTCTTGAATGAAAACTAATATTGGATAATTATAATTTTTCATTACATAAATTGAATACAATAAAAATTTAAAATCATAATAGGACTATTCAAACGCACTGCATCCTAACACGTCTCATAATCTACTAACGATTTTTCTCAGCGCGGTGCAACCCCAGATTCTATCGATCAACGCCCACATCTAACTATATCTAGGTCATTCTAGGACATTCCATCCAGGACTTCATATGCGCATATCAGACTCAACATGGCCGCCATTTTGATTTAAAATGTGACTATCAAGTGTCTAGATTCAACCCTGCTTCTCCTTCTTGCTTACGCATGGCTTTCAAAACATCAAGGGGACAGAGTTTCAAAAGCTAGATTAGGATTAAGTAATTAATTACTAAGCGGATTAAAAGATCGAGACACAGAGCCCAAATTTAGAATCGCAATACCTTTCTCCAAGCCAACAAAATATGCATTGGGCATTCAAAACTTTGCGGGACACCATTGCGTTTATTGTCTATTTGACAAAAATATTAAATGATTCCACTATTTTCGATTACTTACAATGTTATAAATAAAAGTGAAATATATTAAAATAATACATTCATTTACAAAAAAATCTTCAAACAATAACTCTAAAATCTTCTTCAAAACTGACCACTCATTTAAAGATACAGAATGAAATAATATTGGATCGTTATAAACTTATATAACTTAATTTGAATACAACGAAAATTTAAAAGCACTATGCAAGCGCACTGCATCCTATCACGTCTCACTATTGACTGACGATGCTCTCGGAAGGATGCAATCTCAGATTCTATCGATCAACGCCCACATCTAAATATATCTAGGTCGTTCTAGGACATCCAGGACTTCACACGCACATATCAGCCATGGCAAGTCAGCCATTTTGATTTAAAATGTGACCATCGATTGTTTAGATTCAACCCCCCATCTTCTACTTGCTTGCGCATTTTCGAGGATTCAATAGGACAAAAGGTCAAGGAGCAACTTTAGGATTCATTCACTTTTCTCACAGGGCCCAAATTTTTTATTTATTATACGATTTTATTTGACTGACGTTGATTTAAAATAAGGTAGTGTTATGTGGTTGAATTCTTACTTTAATAAAATTTCACTCTTTAAGTTTAGGGTCAAGAAATGGTGCGTCACAATCGAAATTACCCTACCGTCTAACGTCCAAATTAGGGATGTTACGGAGGAGAGTTTTTAAATTTGGTTTGTTGGAAACGGAAGAGGAGATAGAGGCAGAAAAGAGATGTATCAAGGGCAGGTCTAATAAAATAAAATTACAAACATAATTGAGTTTTCTTATGTTTAATTTAAAAATTATACAAAATAATACTGGTTGTTGAAAATAAAAAAAATCGAAGGTTCTTAAATCTTAAACAGTACTAGTAGTAAATTAAATTCATTGTGCTTCGACCTCCGATTATAACCTTCGATCCTTTCGGAATCGAAGTCGAAACTCCGTAACATCCCTAGTCCAAGTATAGGACATTCCGTCTGGGACTTCAGATGCGCTTAGCGCCTATTTTGATTTGTATTGGAACCATAAATCATGTCCCAATTCAACCTCCCATCTCATATTGGCTTACGTATTACTTTAAGGCACTTGTGAGGATGCGCGAACCAAATTTTTAAAAACAACACTACGCGTTTGCAGAAGATCGAACTCATCGTCCAATCTCGAAAGTATATTCGTTTACTGCTCAAATTCATTTAACTAGCATTGATTTCATCAGATAGAACATTCTACGACGGCATTAGAACGCACTACTACATCTTGCAAAAGACGGAGATATTAAAAATTTAAGTACGTATAGGGAGATTTAATAGGAATAAGATAAGAGTATAGTATAACTAACTGATGTTGCAATTAACAACTATGTTTCTTTGATGAGTTAGGTAGCGCTTTGACTTTTTTCATCCGAAATAAACAAAACACGATGAAAATGAAAGGTAATCTACTATTTAGTCTAATATTGACTAAACACAGAGTAACATTAAAAATTTCATCGAAACTTTTTTGCAAGAAACCCCCAATCTATATCATATATTTTTTATTACATAATTAACTTATACATCCAGATAAAAAAATATAATAAAAATCTATACCTATTTTATCGAAGACTCCTCTGTATCGCATTGCCAGAAAAATTTAATAATTGCAAGAACTGCTTACTATAAAGTCCGAATACCGACTGACTCTTATCCCGGCGCGTAGCAACCCTATCAATTGATCAACGCCCACGTCCAATACATCTAGATCTTTCTACTAGGTTTCATCTAGTGCGCATGTCAGCCATGGCAACGCAGCCATTTTGATTTTAAATGAGACCCTATTGCGCATGTCAAACCTTGACACGGCAGCCATTTTGATTTAAAATGAAACCATCAGACAAGGCCCACACATACTTGAAAGGTAATAATTGTTGCCTATCTTGGAACATTTTATGAACATGTAAGAAGATGCACATGCGTTTCACATATTTTAAAATTCCTTTGTTACAAAATGTAAGCAAGTTTAACCCCACCATCCACTAGGATTAACTTTTTTAAGACACTGGTACGCATGCGCAAGGCGAAGAGATCAAAATAACACTGGGACGTACTACTACACATTTGCAAAATACAAAATAAAATATCACTACAGGCGTATAAATATGTCACTTCCATTTGAAACAATTATAATAAAATTCGCTCACTGCGCTTTAGCTTATACAACATGATATTATATTAAAATAGTTATCAAAATGGCCTATTCCTCCAACCGTCATGCTTTTTAAAATTCCGAGAAAAAACAGAGAGGCGCAACTGTAGGAACTGCATAATAGCATACATATCTTTATATATATAATTCTTCTGTGAGTGTGTATGTCACTGAACTTCTCTCAAACGACTGGACCGATTTTGATGAATTTTTTTGTGTGTGTTCAAGGGGATCTGGGAATGGTTTAGATTCACAATTTGAATAATAATTTTCATCAAAATGGTCCAGAATGTTTTAGCTTATTAAAAAAAGTTTGAAATTTTCAAATTAAAGACGTGTAGACAGGACAACGTCTGTCGGGTCCGCTAGTGTATTTATAAAATTAACAACGAAAAACTTATGTGAATATTAACTATATTTTTAAAGCATCAGGAATAAAAAAGCAAGAGATGTGGATCACAGAAAATGCGAAGTGACAAGTTCAATTCCGTAGAGATCAGTAAAAACTTTTTTGAATGTCTGCTAAACACACCCTCTCGAGAAAAGAGGGCATACTAATAATACCAAATATTTCATCTTTTTCGCAAAGGAACTCTTATCCATAACTATATTTTTTATTCAATAATTGCGTAGCCTAACCTAATAACACATTAAAAGATAAAATAATTATTACATTTAATAAATAAATAAAAAAAAACATATACCTGTTTCCAAACTTCTTTGGCTAATTCTTGAAACTTCCTGGAAAGTTGGCTTTCTATAATTGAATGCGAACGAAATTTATTAAAAAAAAAATAGAACGAACGTACGATTTATTTGATATTTCCGAAAAAGAAAAGCTAGTTTTAAAGCTTAAATATCCAAAAATAATTTGAAATCTAAAGTGCAGTTTGCAAAGCGACTACATCCTGTGACGTCTCACTACCGACAAACGTTTCGGTGAGCTGCGATCCCGGGGGCTGGACCAACGCCCACATCGAAATATACCTAGATCATTCCAGAATTACTATCTACGGACTAGGTAGAAGCCTAGAATGTCGCATGCGCTATGCGAGCATTTTAATTTTATTTACCTCCATCACCACCATGCGAGACCATGGCCATAATAAAGCTCAATACGTAACTTTAATTCTACTTAAGTAATTTAAGGTTTTGGGTTGTTGTTTTTTTTAATTACATCAGTATATATATTCGATGAAATTCAAATAGACAAAAAATTCTAAATTATAAAACAGAACTTTTTATAATAAACTTACTAACAAAATCTGACAGACAAGAGACTGAAAGAAGAAACGGTTTGCAGAAGCATCAGAGTTTCAGAATAAATAAGTTAATTTGATCTATTTGAAGAATGTTTAATAAACGATTATTTTTAAACAAAAACAGTCTTTATAATGACGTGCTTGAATACTACGAGTTTTCAACAGTGTGGAGAGCAAAATACTTTGGCTTCTGTTACTAGCGATGAAATTTGGTCTTACCAAAATGAGCTTGAGTCAGAAACATGAATGGAGTTTCTAGACATCTATACATATAATAAAATTGTAAATGATCGCTGTCTGTATGTTGAAGATATTTGAGAAAAACTATTATTGGGGATCTTCATTAAAGCAAAAAACAAAAACAAGATTTTTTTAACTTTAGTCTATTTGTCTGTGCGTTTGTACGCGCTAATCTCAGAAACGGCTTAACCGATTTGGGTGCGGTATTCACTAATGAATTGTGGTAAGCTTCACTTAACATTTAGTATTTTGTTTTATTTCAATCGGTTCATAAATAAAAAAGTTAGTTTAATCTAAAAGAATCACCTAAGAAAAAACCCGAGTGAAGCAAGGGTGAGTCGGTTGTTTGTAATATGTTCTAAAATTCAGTCAAAAAGATCAAAGTGAGGACGACGTCGACGATGACGACTTCCTCCAGCAATTGAAGAATGTAGAACATTTGGACACAGGCTAGGTACATACATTTCTTATTCCGATAATTTCAAGCTATTAAAAAATATTTCAAAAAAACTTTGTTTTTTTCCAATTCCGCCAAAAACCACTGTAAAATCGTCTACCAGAAATGAAAAGGCCAAAGTTCACAGATTATATTATAACATACGATACGATACAAAATATAAATGCCAAAGTGCATCCGCCGAAGCACGCCTAGGGGGGTAAGTTAGGTAATAAATCAATATGCAGGACGCTTTTGCACATGCCTAGACTGGATGCTGTATTGATTGCCCGGGACAGTGTTAAAAGGGGAGAATGGGGTGTTACCAGGTAACGATGCAGTGGGTGGAGATGCAACAGATTGCGCAGCTCACACGGGATCATATTGGGATGGCCTGGACTATTGATTTATGGTTTATTTAGAAATTGAATTTCAGCATTTATGCCTCTTCATCAGTCATATAAGTTACACGTCTTTTTCAGAGGTTTTTTTTGCATGCAAAATACTATTTCCAAATAGCCTTTTCTATTCCATTAAAACTCCTTTTAAAAGTAAACATATTAAAACAAAGTTTCAGATATATTTTCTCCGTATCTTGTATAATTTGTTTTGTCACATATATTTAGAAACTTACATCTTTAAGTAAGAAGACCGGCATGTTGTTGCGCCGATATTTCAATACCTTGGTATCGTAAACATAAAAAATTGGTACTAAAGATAAAATATTTTTTATTCGCAATTGAGAAAGATTTCTGTGTTTGTTTGTACCCAATAAGCTCCGAAACTACTGGATCGATTTAGATGAAATTTGGTAAGAAGATAGATAGTTATCGCAGAAATCATCTCTTAAGGGGGTGAAAATATTGATGAAATGTATGAAGAATCAACCTAGGGACGAACCTGAGCGAAACGAGGGTGAGTCGCTAGTTTATTACACATTAAAATTCTACAGCGCGCTGCATTTGTGTTTATTGAGGTTTTTCGCCGAATCAACCTTACTAATCTTAGTACGGTTTTCACCAATAGAAACATGAATTATCTAAGAAGGCTATACGTTATAATCATTAATGAATAAAAACACATACATACACATTTACAAACAAATATCTCATCAAAAAGTGGCGTCAACATGACACGTTAAGTCAAACCAAAGAATAACATTCAAACATCGAAAGTCGTAATTGTCTAAACACAAATTCGAACTTACGCACACCACATATAAAGTACTTTTATAAACGAAACAACGTGCGTTTTCATTTTGTCATCCAAAAAGGAATGAACAAAAGATATTTGAAAAAAAAGCGCATAATTTCGAATTGTGCACTTCTTTTTGAGGACACTTTTGAGACGCTAATTGCAATTGCACGAAGCAAGACTCGCAGGTAGTATAAAACATATATATGTATATGTAATAAGTATGTCTCCGACTACATAATACTACGTTCCTTCGTCAACTTCTTCCCGTCTTTTCTGTTTACTTTTTACGCAATCAGGTTGTTTATTCTCATAATTCTAAGCAATATGACGTAGAGAAATCGATGAGCGGTCGAAAAATATTGGAAAAAAGTACTAAACCAAGTATAAACTATACATAATACGTTACTTAGATTTACGACAATATCTGACATTTTAAATAAAACAATACTTTCGGATTTTTTTGCGGATTTATTAACCAAACCAAAAATCAAAATAAATTCGCGGAAAAACGTTTTATTAATAAAAATATAAACTATGTTACATCCCCTATCAAACAAGTTAAAATTAACTTTAAAGATTTAATCACACAGTCAGTTAAAAATAAAGCAAATAATAGTGTAAAAACTAACACTCACCGGTTATTCCACCCCTTGCTGCTACCACTTTCGCTCCAATCGCGCTGACTGACCGGGTAGCTTTGCCTTTGATTGTTAGAGTCTTGATTTTTTTTCTGTTTTAATAAAAAAAAAAACCGCCGCTATAAAAACTTATCAGATACACGTCTGTCTGTGACTGCATCATGAGAAAACCACTGTACAGATTTTGATGAAATTTGATATGATCCAGTCCGGGTCAACATATAGGATACTTTTTACTGCGGGAAAATATATCATCTCTGAGAAATCTATACTAAACGTTAAAACGTAACTAAAGACGAACCCGAGCGGAGCGAGAGTGAGTCGCTAGTCAAATATAATAAAAAAATCTAAATCGGCTAATAAAATCAATTATCTCTCATTGCCCCTCCATCCGTCACCATGGCACCAGAGCCCTATCTCTTCCCATCAAAAACATTACTTATAAATAAATACGCCTGATCCTTCCCACCCCAACCTCCCTCACCATTTCATAAATTTGAACAAAAAAAAACAATTATATTTTTACCGATTTAAAAAAAAGTAGATACTCTATTTGATTGTATGTTTTGATCGTTTGTGTGCATGTTTGTATGTCGTATGTACAGTGCCCCTAGTACGAGTTTTTGACAGTTCTCGATTACGAAATATAGTTTCGTTTTCTTCCATACATCTACGTGCAGCGCTCCTAGCGGAAACGTGGTGGAACTAAATCGGCAGTACGAGTTCAATCGAATCATAGTTAACGAACTCGATGAAAGTTTTCGAGCGTATTATTGCATTTTGGCAGTACGAGTTCCCACTTTGACAAGTTACCGATAGTAAACTTTGACGAATTCGAAAACTTTTTTCGTTTTGGCACTCACCAAGTAAATCTCGGTGAGAGCTTACGACCATCTTTGTTTTTGCGAATATTTTTGAACATTAATTATGTTAGCGAGACGGTATCTTGCGTGGAGATTAGCTGTGGAGGCTGACCATGATGAGGAGCGACAGGAGCTCGTAAAGAGGCGAAAATTAAATGTGCCCAGCCGTATCTCTGACACTCACTTTGTGCAGCGGTATCGGCTAACCAAGGAGGGATTTATGTTTCTCTGTGAGACCTTAAGGGAAAATACAAACCTTAGGGGTTCACAAAGAATATCATTGGAGACTAAGGTAGGTACTTAGATATTTTATTTCACATCCGTATTCGCGCATTTGGATAAGGTTTATCGTATGTACTTATAATATTCTGTAGGTACCTAATATAACCGCTATTTATCCAAGTATTCACCAACCTAGGTGCTTTATCTAAGTAGGTACTTCTTTAATAAAAATATTTTATATTTTAAGGTACTAAGTGCGCTGTTATTTTACGCCAATGGGGACTACCAGAGAGTGGTTGGGATTGCCAACTCTTTATCACAAGAGGCAATTAGCCGTTACATTCAACAAGTAACAATGGCTTTAAACCACCCAAGTATTTTGAATAAGTTCATTAAATTCCCGAATACACCAGCAGCTAGAGAACTTATAAAGCAAAAGTTAGTACTTTATAATCTTTTATCCTTATAATCATCTATACATAGTATTACCAAAGATAATAAGGTTACAGCCCACAGCATAATCCTCATTAATTAAATTATAATTTGTATCTGCATGAGAATGGTTAAACATTTATTTCCATTTAAGTACATTCCTATTTATGTGTAATGTTCTAATGAATATATATTTTATATCTTCTAGTTTCTACAACAAATATGGTATTCCCGGAGTGATAGGGTGTATAGATGGCTGCCACTTTAAGATTGTGAAACCCAACAAAAACGAAGAACATCTCTTTTACTGTAGAAAACATTACCATTCTTTGAATGTTCAAATGGTATAACTAATTATTTTCTAGAATTACTACCTACATTATGTGTTGAGTATAAGTACATTTAAATGAGTTGTTTTTCACATTACAATACATTTCTGCTGTATAAAGTAAAATAGTTTTTGTTTTAATAATAAGTAATGAATATTTATTCTAGGTTGCAGATGAAAAATGTCACATTTTGGCAATCAACCCTAAATTTGGGGGTGCTAGCCATGATGCCTTTGTGTGGGAGAACAGCCAGCTCAACACATACATGCAAACATTGCATCGAAATGGTGAATCTGTGTGGCTTCTAGGTAAGAAAACTTAATTTTTGAATAGCTATACTTTTATTGTTGAAATATGAATTATAATTTAATCTATTATACTAATGAAATAATTACCAACAGGTGACTCTGGATACCCACAAAGACCGTGGCTTATGACACCATATAATAACCCTGCACCCGGTAGTGCAGGAGAAACATTCAATAAGTTACACAGCAGGGCGCGTGTAACTATTGAAAATACATTTGGGCGCTTGAAAAATAGATGGAGATGTTTGTGTAAGGATAGGGTGCTCCACTACAAGCCGGAAAAATGTGCCCAAATTATTTTAGCATGCAGTGTGTTGCACAACATAGCACTGGATTTAGGAGTGCCAGATCCTCAGGAACAAACAATAGGTAATCTATGATAAAATAAAAATAAAAATACAATAGGTATATAAGAATTTAATTATTCAAAATGGGACATACACATATTTTGTTTTCCTTGTATTAAATTTATGATTGACTGTAATTTACAAAACATAAATTATAAATAGGGTTCTTTTATTTTACAGTTAATAATCAAGATTTTCCTGAAAATGATGAGGTAGAGGATGATGTTACCCTGTTGACACTAGGGCGCTTATTGCGTGATCGCATTGCCAGTAGGGTGCATGCTGAAGCTGTTTGACAATAACCATGCAACATATTCAGTGACTCTGTTAAGACACGTCTGGCACTTTATTGCGTGGCAACTTTACCATCGCCCACATCGTGTGGTCCGTGCCTAATTAGACGGTCATCGATGTGAAGTGATTTGGATAATCTGTGAGTTCAATAGACAATATAGTGAAGTGACAGAACGTTAGCTATATAAGACAGTGATTTTATATTAAAATCCCTTATTCTTATTCTGATTCGTACTCTTATACCCATTGTTCTTGTCGTCATACTCAGTATTTTGTGGCTAATCAAATACAGTAATCCAAAGGACGACATCTTTTATTTCACAATCTCTTCAAATACAATAGTTCGTTTCAACAAAAATGAGACGAACAGACTCAATTGCCTTCCTAACCTTTCATTTAAATTCTACATTTTATAAATTATAATTCAAAAAAACTTGTAGGGGTCTATTTGAATAGAGTATACTTTGATTTGATTTAGATTAATATATTTTTTATTATAAAGCTTGCAGTAGTGTTGCTTAATATTTAACTTTAAAATAATCAAAGTTCAATTTGTTTTTAACTTTAAATGATCTTAAAACTTATGAACTTTAAAAGATAAACTTCGATCAAAATAACACTTAATTAAATTATAAAAACACTTAATTAAATTATAAATTTATATTTTGAATTTCTGTATTATCACACAATATACTGTAACAGGCAGTTTTTCAATGTGTCATGATTATTGTTTTTAATGTGTAAAATTATTGACAATCAGCGATTCAAATCTAACATAATAATTATAAAATTGTACAAGCATTTGAGACAGAAATAAATGAAATTGTTAATTATCTAATACTGTTTACTTGATATCTTGTTTTAATACATATTGTAATAATAGCACATAATATTATTATATGTATTACAAATATTATAAAAAATTAATAATAATTATAATAATATTGCCATATTTATAATGTTATTTTTGGTAATACATATAATGTATTTTTAAATGCAAGTTTAAATGTTTAGTAAGTAGTTTAGTTTAGTAGTTTAATTAAAATATACAACTTCATAAGGTACTTTGGTATCATTTGGAATTTTTGTACAAGTATGTATATAAACCTCAGAGACGAATGTCAAATATTCGCATAAGTAAACCTAAGAAAGTATTAACTTTTAGTTTTAAATATTAATTAATGACTAATAAAATAAATGTTTGTGACCTGTTTTAATTCTATTTTCATTTAATTTAGCCTCTTTAATTTTATTTAGTGTTTAGCTTTAATTTGTATTCTTAAAGGTAACAACCAAATATATAATTATATTTAATCCCTTAAATATTATACATATATAGCAAATAAAATAAATAGTAAATAACGCAGGGTATCCTATTTACTATTTATTTTATTTGCTATAATTTCCCCTAAATTAATTAATTTGGCAAACAGAGTTTGCCACTGAGACTGCTGCTGGAGCTCCACCTCTCGTTGTTGCAGCTCTCTTTCTCGCAGCCTTACATGCTCAGTGACAAACTGTGTTGCCAAATTCCGCCAGTGCTCGTCGCTGTTTAAAAATTGCTCGGTGGCATTAAAGTGCCTCCGAGGAACACGACGACTATGAGGGGGCGCTGGTGCCGGCGAACGTAGCAAGCGGCGGCGCCCACTGATCGCGCGTCGCGGTGCGGTGTGCCGTTGAGGGCTGATGGCGTGGTGTGTTGTGGGGGAGATGGCACTATTATCCACCATATCAGTGTGGAACGTGCTTACTGATTGACCACCTTCCCCAGGCTTGTTCCACTCTTCAATAACTGAAAAAAATACATGTACATACTTGGGAATAAATTACTAAAACAGATTAATGAATTATTAAAATCTAGAATCATATATTTATGTTACTAACATCCATCATTTGCTCTACTATGTTAAAACACTGTTTTGAATTTGAAAAAAAAATAGTAAAAGAAACTAACTGCTCTCAACTTGGACAACTTGCTCCATTGGTGTGGGTGACACTGCTACTGGCAGAAGGCCCAAATTTGATGCTACGGGTGGCTCAGGTGGTCCAACCTGAAAGATGAAACAGATATAATTAAAAACATATATTTTGAAAATAAGGTATAAAGACAACACAATGTAAATGGTCCTAGTGGGTAATTATATATATAGGAATCCTAGCTAGGGTATTCTTATGTACATGATTAAGTGCATGTGTATATGTTGTGTATGAATGATATAAAATTAATATATTTGACATGATACATTTGTATAGGCTAAGCAAGCAGTGTCAGACATGTAGCATGCGGAATTTAATTTGTTTCCTACATTATGTTACCATGGGAAAAATGTGCATAAATTTAAAGCTAAGGTAATCAACTAATATATAAAAAATAATGACTTCTAAACTAACTTCTTGCACTGAAACTAGACCAGTTGCAGCCTGGGGTCCTATGATGCTAAGGACTCGCTGCTCCTGGTCAGTTAAAATTAATTTAGAGACTGGCCCACCACCTGTGCCACCTGCAGCTCGGTGAATTTTAGAAGCCTTCCGCTTAGTGTTATTTTTAAGGTCACTCCACACCTTTACATGCAAAATAAACAAATTAATTATTGCAATTAGTGCATATCAAACAAAAAGTATTAGGTAATGTAACCCAATGTTTTAGGATCATAGTTAAGCAGGATGCACAACTTTCAAACAAAGAAAAAACGAGAAGGAACGCAGCATGCTGCATGCATAGCGAAGTAGTTGTAAGGTGGGTGAAACTTACCTTTTTCCACTTTTCTACCGGCTTGGAAGTCCCCGTCGTGTCCAAGTTGAGCGCATTCGCTAACTCTTGCCACTTGTCAACGGCCCTTAGCCTGCCGCTAGGGCCATCGCTTGGCTTATTTAAGTCACCATTCCTAAAAATTTTTTGTATGTAATCAAAACAAATTCTCTAACGCATTGGTAGACATAATATAAAGAAAAATATAAATATTATATATAAGATTGATACATACCTCTCCATAAAATCTATCATCACTTCAAACTGCGAAGCACTGGTTCTCATCATTATTTTAATATTATTATAATTTTAGCGAACGCGCTAACGAACTAAGTTTTAAAATTTACTTAATCCAAAACGTCAATTTATACAATATTGAAGGAGAACTTTTGTCTCTTTTAGTTTGCCGGTGTGTAAAAGAGATGAAGCAAATAAAGTGAACTTCGTTCAATCGAGCTAGTCGATGGTCGAAATCGTGTAAACTATATTCGAAAACTTTAACTCGTACTACCGATTACATCGAAAACCATATAGTTCATCGAGCTCACGAAAACTATCATCGTTTGTGTCATTTGTAAACTCGTACTAGGGGCACAGGTATATATAGGCGCATTAACTGCTTCGGTGGTCTAGTGGCTAGCGTGTACAGCCACAGGTCCGGCAGCCCTAGATTTGAGTCCCTGGTCGGGTCAAGCTCAGACATTGAGTATTTCTGTCAAGAACTTCTCAGTAACAGCCCCGAGCTGGGAAGTTGGCGGTGTTTCACCCCCGAGCCTCGGAGAGCACGTAAAGCCGTCGGTCCTGCGCTGTCAACCAAGACTCGTTTTCATAGTTCCAAGTGAACCTAATAAATCCTAAATATTAAAAAATATTCTATGTGGAATCAATGAAAAAAACATACCTTATGCGCCACACTGATAATCAACTTCAATGGTTCAGTCTTGTTGAGTTTCATCATAGCCAGCTTAGCTTCCCTGCAAACAATTTAACGTCTTAAATCTATACATATAATAAAATTCTAACTGAGTCAAATCAGTACATAAAATATTTTTTGGAAAATCTTATTGAAATAGGCATTATTATCGATACAGAGACCGAATCTATACTTTTTAGAATTTTTGTCTGTCTGTTACCGCATCACGGAAAAACCACTAGAGGGATTTTGATGAAATTTGGTATGATGGTAGCTAGTTATCCAGGTCAACATATAGGATACTTTTTACCGCGGAAAAATATCTCATTTCTGAGAAAAAATACAAAAACTGCAACGTAAGAGTATACTAATATGTAAAACCTAAGAATTTGGGTTTTGGTCATCTGACCGCGGGCCGAGCCGCGGGCAATGCTAGACAAAAATAAAAAAAATTGAAACCGTCCGATTTGGCGTAGCATGCCACGTATACAATATACATGCAAGCGTGAGGTGCTCGATATTTGCTGTTGCTATGAATATTGAGTACGATTTCTATAAGTAGAGTTAGTATAAAAAATATTGTACAAAGCACACAACAGTTTTTGCACAATAACATTAATTCTTGTACAAAAAAAAATATTCCGATAAAGACTCACCCTGGTGTTTCGAAGGTGACTATCGCGTATCTCTTTAGAGGGTCCCTACTCATGAAGACCTTCACATTAGACGCGTACTTCTCGAAGACAGCGCGCAAACCATCTTCGCTTAAAGCTTTCGATATGTTCTTGACATATAGCTTACAGTGATCTAATTGCACCTCGCCACTAAATAAAAAAATAATATTTATACATATAATAAAATTGTAACTAAACTGAATCTGTACATTAAATATTTTTGAAAAATCTTATTGAAATAGACATTATTATTGATACAGAGACCGAACTTAGTTTTTAGAATTTTTGTCTGTCTGTCTGTTACCGCATCAAGTAAAAACCACTGGAGGGATTTTGATGAAACTTGGTATGATTGCAGCTGGTTATTTGGTCAACATATAGGATACTTTTTACTGCGGGAAAATATCTTATCTCTGAGAAATCTATACTAAACGTTAAAACGTAACTTAGTTACGTTAGTTTGTTTATAACTAGCGACTAACCCCTGCTTAATTTAGGTAAGTCCCTACTGACCTTATTGTACGGTACTTATGATATCCATACTAAATATTATAAATGTGAATGTTTGTTTGTTTGTTTGTTTGTTTGTCCTTCTTTCACGTCGAAACAGTGTCACGGATTGGCTTGATTTTTTGTGGAGATAGTTGGACGGCTGGAGAGTGATATAGGCTACTTTTTTCTGAGGGAGATTATCTCACTCCCACGGGAAAACACGTTATAATACAACCCACAACAACTTATCATAACTATGTATGTATATAATAATATATAGTCTAATATATTCCATACTAACCGTTGAAACGTACCCGGAGAGGAACCCGAGTTATTATATTGTTATATAATAACTCGAGAGAGTTATTATATAACAATTAAAAAAAACAGAGTGAGTACCTTTTGGCGAAATTGAAAAAATGAATGAACGGATTTGAATAAAATTCAGAGTAAAAAAAACTTAAATATTCTGTAACAATACATACACTTCTTTTTATCCATGAACTACGCCAGCGAAGTCACGAGCTAAAGCTTATAGGTAAAAAAAACCTCTTAGTGTGAACAAAATTTTAGCTTTAATTAGGGCGGTGTACAGACAGGGGGAGGATAGGGAGAATCGGATTATTACTATCCAATATGAACGTTTCAATAAGAGTGCCTATTCCATTGATTTTATATATGAAATACAATCTTTACAACTTCAGAAGCATATCTGTACAGATAAATAAAATTGAAGTGTGCGTGTGTAATGTCAAAATAACAGCTTTTTACTAAATGCATATGAAAGTATATAAGGTACTTATAAAAAATCATTTTTTAAATTGTCTATCTATCTGTCTATTCGTACCGACTACTCTTCGAAACGGATGGACCAATTTCGACGGGACTTTTACCGGCAAATAGCTGATATTATAAAGAGTAACTTAGGCTACTTTTATTTTAAATAAAGAATTAGGGTTCCGCTCAAATAAAACCTATGAAATTGTACAAAATCGTATCTAGCGAGGGTAAGTCCCTAGTAATAAGTATGAATATTGGCTTCAATAAAAAAACTCAGAAACATGTATTTCAATTTTAAAGATTTATCCAGAGATATGTACAAGTACATGCTTATGTGAAATTCACCGATTTGAGGTTTTACTTCATTTGTTTTTTATTTCAATATACATATTTTTTTTGTTAAACTTTTTTTTAAATTATTGAAAACAAAATATTGTCAAAATAATATTAAGTGGAAGTGTAATTAAAGTGTAATAGAGGAGGCCTCTAAAGCTTTTGAAGATATTGAAGTGCCTCTTATAGGTCTGAGGAACTTTATGAAAACTTGCATATTAATTAATTATATTGGAAGAAGCATAAGTAGTAAATAATAGCAAAACTAGTAGAAATTGTAGTGCTTTTCACTGTTTTCTCTCGCTACTCCTTAAGAGACATTGTGTTGAATTATGTTTACACTAGGACTTACTCTCGCTTCACTTGAGTGCTTATCTAGGTTATCAGTAGCCTATGTGTTACTCTAGATCATAAACTATCTTTATACAAAATTTCATCCAAACTCATCCAGCCAGTTAAGGAACAATAAACATACACATGTTATTGTCACTATCCATACAAAGTTACTATACCTAATGTATGTATTCAGCCCTTCTTAACGTCCCACTGCTGAGCACGGGCCTCCCTTCAATAGGAGGGGGGATCAGGCCATAGTCCACCACGCTGGCCAAGTGCGGGTTGGCAGACTTCACATGTCTTTCGAAAACTTGCTAGGTTCTCTCAGACATGCAGGTTTCCTCACGATGTTTTCCTTCACCGTAAGGCAAGTGGTAATCATGTTGAAAATGATTCGCACATGAAAATATCAGAGGTGCGAGACCCGGGATTTGAACCCGCTTCACTCGGTTACCCAAGCAAGCGCGTCACCACTGGGCTACCACTGCCTATTACCTAATGTAAATAATGTTAAATAATTATAATATATGAATCAGTCCGCCAATCAGTTTCTTACTTTACATCTATTGATCAGAGGCTCACTCTTGCTCTGCTCGGGTTCACCTCTAGAAAAACAAAAAAAAACATCCCATGGGAACTATACATTTTTCTGGGATAAAAAGTAGCTTATGTCCTATTGCAGACAATAATCTATCTCTATGCTAAATTTCATCCAGATCTGTTCAGCCGTTCTGGTGTGATTGAGTAACAAACATCCATCTAATCTTTCACATTTATAATATTAGTAAGATTATAAAACAAGTTATAATTGAGAAATCACTAAAACAAAATCTAAGCAAAGCAAAAGATTTCTAACTTCGCAAAGCTTTTGAATAACTTAAGAAAAATTTAAATAACAATAAAAATGGCAATAGTTAATATTCAACAGTTAAAAATGATACTTACTTGACTTCATCATCAGGATATTGTTGGTCATAGTTTTTATCATCATAGTCTTCTCGCATTGGATCCCAATCATGGGACTTGCTGTACCTTCCCCGGCCTGCCATTTCTAAGAACAAATATATATAAAGTATAAGTTAAACTATTTACTAATAGATATCTTAATTATATTTTTGTGTTAAATAATAATATACCTTAAAATATGGCAATACTGCATTAAATATCTTAGATTAATAATATTTAAAATTTTATTATGTTAGTTGACTACTTTCCAGTTTGAATATCAAACAGAAAATGAATTCCCGGATGCTGAAAATGGGTAAAAGGGGGAGGGGAACCGATGGGGGTGGCATTTATGTGGGATGTGTCCTAGCCTGAATCTACCTTTGCCTAGACTCAATATTGCTATCTCAGTCTAGATATCTTTGTCTTTTTGGAACTACACATAATTATAATACTTATAGAATTATATGAATTATATATCATTTATTGAGAAAAAAAGCTATATAATATAAATTAATGTTACAAAAATTCAGTAAGTACAGATGTTAATTTTTCGAGTTTGATTATGTTTGATTATTATTTCAATTTTTCACAAAATAAATTATACATTTTAATTATTAGAATAATGTCATTTTATTATAAAAAATCCTTACATTTGTAAAATGTTATGAAGCAAGTGGTTCAATGTTTTATATTTTAATATTCATTTCAAAGCTAAGCAAGCGTTTTTGCAAAGGTTCATGCTTTTACAGTTAATAGATACAAAATAAATCTTAACTTTAAAACCTCTTTATCAAATAGTATATACATTATTATAATCAAGTATAATTCTAGTAAATCTTCGAAAAATAGAATGTACTTACTCCATTAATTTAAATTTTCGAAATCGTTACAAGACACGTGAGACTCTTATGTGTAATGTAAAGAGGTATAACTATGATATTTAATCTAAGTTTAACTTTTTGAGCTAATAAATATTGTACTTACCTTTTGAAAAATATTAAATATCTATATAAATCACAAATTCGACGTATGATAAAAAAAAATTCATCTACCGATTGATTGTTTCACGATCAGAACAAAGACCGACTGTCAAAAAGAGTGCAAAATTAAGCTTGGGTAAAAAATATCGATATATCAAAAAATATCGATATTTTTTTCAAAAATTAATCGATTAAATAGTTGATACTTTCATTCTCGATATATCGATTTTTGATATTGAAACGTTATCGCGCGTTACACGCTTTGAGCGGATGGGAGCGAGATCAAAAAAACTGTTAAAAGACTTTCCGACACTTCTTGCTCAATCGTCGCACACAGTTCTCCCACGCGCCTAAAGAAACCATGGCTCTCTTCTCTTTGGCTTTTTTTAACTTTTATTTATGTATATTTATGGTAAAAAATTAATGTTCACATCTTAAATAAAAAAAGTAGTATTAATAAAATAAGATTTATACAGTTCTTAAATATTTATTTGTTATTATCTTAATTATCCCAGATCTTTCAGAGTTTACCTCTGTATCGACAATAATGTTTATTTTAATAAGATTTTCCAAAAAATATATCTAATGTACAGATTCGGCTTAGTTACTATTTTATTATAAATGTATAGATTCTGAGTCGAATCTGTACATAAAATATTTTTTTGGAAAATCTTATTAAAATAGTCATTATTATCAATATAGAGGTCAAACCTGTAGTTTTTAGAATTTTTGTCTGTCTGTCTGTTACCGCATCACGGAAATACCACTGGAGGGATTTCGATGAAATTGGGTATGTAGCTGGTTATCCGGGTCAACATATAGGACACTTTTTACTGCGAGAAAATATCTCATCTCTGAGAAATCTATACTAAGCGATACAACGTAACTAGGAACGATGTTGTAAGTTTGTTGAGACTTGCCAAGCGGGTGCCAAAAAACAAACAAATTAAATATTGGTTACTTTTGTATATCTTTTGAAATTAAACCATTAATAAAACTGCGAAAAGTATATTTACTTTTAAATTTTTTAAGTATTTTGACAATACTTATAATTAACTGCAGTCACGAGTTAGGCAAAAATATCGATGAATCAAAATGTCAATATTTTTTACTATACATATATCGATACTATTAATAAATATCCGCTCTATACGTTATATATATAGATATTTTTTCATTTGCCTATCTCTACAAACAATACAGATTAGAAAAACGTGTTACTAGTGTTGTAGTAACGATGATATCGCACGAATTGCATTCCACTATCCGATTATTAGGAAAACTTATCGCCTCTACTGGTGATAACAGAGCTGGCTCATTTATCATCCAAAGAATCAGCATTGCCATTCAGAGGAAGAATGCGGCAAGCCTTCTTGCCACATTTCCATGCGGACATGATTTGTACAGTCATAAAATATAAATATGATGATATTATACTCCTGATCGATTTTGGCCACGGCAGCCAATCTTATTGAGACTATCCTATGAAGTTTTTGAATGCCTATGAAGTTTATGAAGCCAATTTATTCTATACATATGAGTTGTATAGAATCAATGGCGGCTATCTCATTGTAGAGCACAAAGTAGTCATATTGTATTACTGGCCATTATTATAGTAAGTACTAAAGATTTAGGATACTTTTAAAACATAAATGATACTTTTACTTTTATTATAGCGTACCTATTTTAAAATCAAATATTAATATAGCCACCTATGATACTAACATTTAAAGATTGCCGAATGTGATTCCGTGTTTAATAGGATCTTACGAAGATTACTTCTTATGATTCTACAAATGCACTACTGTGATTGGTCGAGTGAGCATTAGCGCCGAGTTTGATTCTGAGTACGCAGAAGATTGCCGTCTTTGAAACTAAACAATGATTTAACATAGCATTTGCAAGGAAAATAGCCGCCTTTAGTGCTGTGTTGTCAAATAAAACCGTTTAATTCAATGTTAGAAATTTTTGGGTATAGATATCTCAAATCTGCCAAAAAATAAGATGGCCACCTTTGATTCTATACGACTCATATATTGTAAAAAGCAAAATAATATTGTACTATATAGTCCTCTTTGATACTGAGCAACTGAAGGTAATTGTAGATAACAAAAACAATCTTAAATTTCAGATGTGATTGTTTTTGGTCGAGTGAAGTTAATCGATAATAAACATGTATAATAAAAAAGGCTTTGGCACTAATTGTTTATTAATAATTAATTGAACTAGTTGACTATTAAGATTTGTACCTTTTTAAACTTAGTTCAAATATATTTCTTAAGCATCAGTATCATCCCTTCGAAAAGTTTATCATATTATAATTCATCTATACGATATAATAAGATTATATATTCTTCGTAACTACAAAAAATTATACATAAATTTAATTAGTCAACAGTTATAGACAATAATAAATAACGCTTCTCGATACATCCATATTTTTCAATCGATTTATAAATTACGGAGTTATACGAAATGTTTATCAATTATCTGTGCTATTATACAATATTTGACAACTGTCATTTCTGACAGTGACAGCCAAATATATAACCTGAAAAACCTATTGTTGGTAGGTATTTTAGTACCTAGCCCTAGCCAGTTTTTGTTGCAAAAGTGAATTAAATCGGCGTACAAATATGAAGAATGGATGATATCGTGAAACAAGTTCCTTCTTACCAATTAGACCAAGAAATATTAGACGGTGAGTACTTTAAATACGTGTTTTTGATTGAAATATGAAACTACCTAATTCTTAGAAGCAACAGGTAAGTTGTGTAAATGACGCAAATTTTTCTTGTTTTGATTGTATTTGAATAAATTAATTAGATTTCAATTTAAGTGTCGATACTAATTATTTTTAACTAATAAAACAAAGAATTTATTTTAAATAAGTTTAAGTAAATAATTATGAGTCCTATACACGAATACTACAAAATGAAAAAAAAATATTGTATCCTAATACGTCAGTAACAGTATTTAAACTAAGCTTTGTGTCATACTAAGTAACTTTTATTGTTTTAATTTGTTAAAATTAGTTCTACTGGGCATAATAAATAAACCTCCATATAAGGTAGGAAATATCTATTATTTTCTTTTTAAATAAGACTCAAATTGTTTTAATTATGTAAATTATGGACAAAAATATTAATTTTTTTATTTGTAGTATTAATTGGAAATTGCCAAAGAATATATACAAAATTGAATAATAAAATATTATTTAAACAAAATAATTTACTGACTTTTTCGTAACACTGAATTTTTACTTGAATTTTCTGTTGCATCAATCTAAATGTAATGTATATAATTAGTACAAGAAGTTTTCAATCCTTGAGCCAAGTTTTATCAAAATCCTTTTAACGGTTTTGAAGTAACTGTAACAAACACCCAAACATCTTTCATATTTGTATTTTTAATGATTAAAGTATCATCAATTTTTATGCATGCTTGAAATTTACTCCTTCATCCTAAGATTGCCTGAAAGAAATTGCTTTTAGCGAAAAGAACCCCTCCTCACTCCCGTGCATTTCTTACTTTATCTTAAAAAATTAAATGCATTATTTTTGTATATACTCATAATATATACATTTATTTCTGTATCTCTGAAAAGGCTCTAAAGGTTTAAAACAAATTTTGTATTTAGATAAGGTTTTGTATTTTAAAGTTTATCTATATAGGTATCTTTTCTGAAAAAACACAATTTTTATATCTTACCTGAAAAACACCAAGCAAAGCTTGGTTGCCCAGGTACTGTTTATGTCATTACTAGCAGAACCCGCGGCTTCGCTCGCGCTAAAACTACAAAAAAAACTTTGAAATGGTAGGTTTCATACAAACTTTCATCCGCTATTTTACCCCCTTATGGGATGTATTTCGGTAAATTCTAAAAGACGTATTTAATTAAAACGTGTTTTTAAAGAAAGACAAACAAATAAACACACTTTCACATTTATAATATTAGTATGGAAGTATGGATTATTATGTATTAGATGTCTTCCACACTTCCTAAATGCTTGACATCTCACAAATGTTGTGTGCATCACTTTCATTTCTGCCTCGCACATGCGAATTGTGGAACGATTTTCCTCCTACGGTTTTCACTCGACGCAATAATATGGGGCTCTTGAAGAGTCGAGTCTTCAGGTCCATGAAAGGAAAAGTTGAATGCATTGAGCATTCAATTTTTTATGTTGCAAATAAGCAGTCTATGAACATAGCCACTTACTCTTACCATCAGGTGGACTGTTTGTTTGTGTGTTAATATAAAAATCTTTTTTTTCTTATCTCTTGTGGTAGGCAATTTAAATTGAAAAGTTTTCATTTAGTATAAGATTTTCACAATTTTTTTATGGATTGTCTTAAGTCAGTCTACTACCAGTTTGGAAAGAAAAAGCCATAGTTCAGAGAAGAACTGACAAAAGAGCTTCCTCCAGTGCGGGCGGGCCTAAACTTATTTTTGCATTTTGTTTTGCAAATATAATTATAAACTTTGCAATTGCAAATATAATCAATAGTTCATTGAAGTATGTATCTATTTATGTATTTAAATATATTTACAGCGCGAGGCATCAGTATGACAGTAGAGGAGGTAGCTGGCCTACCAACATGCAAATATTCAGAAAAAGTTCAAGCTTTGAACTTGAGTGAAGATGATTTGGCTTTCCTTAGAGGGTTGAGAAGGCGAATTAAAAATAGAGTAAGTGATATATTTATATTTGCTTGTATATATCCTTGTATTTGAACTGAATTAAAAAAATGGAAGATATTTTAGTATTATGTGAAAGTTTGTGGGTATGTTTGGATGTTTGTTACTCTTTCACGCCAGAACGACTAAACGGATCTGGATGAAATTTGGCACCGAGATAGATTATAGTCTGGAATAATACATAGGCTACTTTTTATCCCAGAAAATGTACGGTTCCCGTGGAATAGGTTTGTTTTTGTTTTCTTAGAGGCGAACCCGAAGCGATGCGAGGGTGAGTCGCTAGTATGTACTATGATATGTAGAAGTGATGCACTCACATATAAATAAATGTAGTATATAGTAACTTTTATAGTCTAGATTAGGTTTAAAACCTAGCCAATATTACATTTCTATACATAAAATGATAAAAATTAAAAATCTTAAACTAAAACACGCATTAAACCAATTGTTACGTATGGGTTTCGTCAGAAAGTTATTATATACGACTGTAGAAACATCAAAAAGATTCCTATTAGACACACATCTACGAAAGGGTCTCGCCGGGTTTCCATAAAAAATCTGCACTGGCGTTAGTGGATATTCTTGGTATTGTTATGGTGGAGATTATGTAGAAAAATAATTTTGAAGTTGCAGTCCCCATTGTCGAAAAACGAATGTAGTTTGTGGGTTTTATAATTGGCCATAAATTATTTTGAACAACTAGCAATATAATTAAGGCACCAATTTCAACGAAGACGTCAGTGCAGATGTCATATGAAAACCCGGCGAGATCCTTTCAGTAATATGCAATATTCTGTGAGTAAAATGACTGTCACGTACAGGCGGACATGACGAAATTATAAGGTTTCCGTTTTTGCATTTTGACTACAGAACCCTAAAGAATCAGAAATCGAACCAGTAGTTCTCTAGCTCTAGGAAAACGATAAACATTATAGTATATACCTATGTATTATTAGTGTTCGTCCAGTGATCGAAATTCGGTCATGATCATTTTTTTTTTTATTGATAACGCTAAAACTCGTCAATAGCTACTAAAGGCAGCGGTAGTCCAGTGGTAATGCGCTCGCTTGGGAAACTGAGTGAAGCGGTTTCAAATCCCGGGTCTCGCACCTCTGATATTTTCATGTGTGAACCATTTCTAACATCGTCACTCGTCTTACGATGAAGGAAAACATCGTGTGAAAACCTGCATGTCTTAGAGAACCTAGTAAGTTTTTGGAAGACTTGTGAAGTCTGCCCCGCACTTGGCCAGCGTGGTGGACAATGGCCTGGTCCCCCTCGTATTGAAAGGAGGCCTGTACCCAGCAGTGGGACGTTAAGGCTGAGTACAAAGCTTGTCAATATCTACTAAACAAAATAAAAAAAGGAAAGCGGTTGACCAACAGAAGACCAAAAATTATTGAACTGTTTTGTCTTTGCCTATTTATAGAGATGAGATATTTTCCGGCGGTAAAAGTATCCTATATGTTGACCCGGACAACCAGCTATCATCATACCAAATTTCATCAAAATCTGTCTAGTGGTTTTCTCGTGATGCGTTCCCAGACAGACAAACTGATAATAATTCTAAAAACTACAGGTTCGACCTCCGTATCGATAATTATGTTTATTCCAATAAGATTTCCCAAAAAATATTTAATGTACAAATTCGACTCAGAATTTTATTTATAAGATAACTGATAAGTCTTCGGTCTTACTATAAAGAATAGATGTTATAATTTATCATGAGTGTAATTCCCACGGTGTTTGAATACATCAACGGTGTCGTGTCACAACTCGTGCACCTCTTGTAATCGATACGATGTAGTAATGTAACACTCTTGCGGCTTTACGTAAATTATTATGTGTTAGCTATTACCCGTGACTCCATCTACGTAGCTTAATTGGACGTAGTTATACAAAATGGATCCAGCCCACGAAAACTGTTTTTTTGAGTTACTATCATAAATAGCACGTACATATTAACTTACATACAGAAAGTAGATAAAATTTGAATGAAATGAATTTCAATAAAAACTAAGGTCTTGTTATTTTGATATGTTTACCAATTTTATTAAACTTCTTATTTTCTCAAAAGTAAGTTTTTGTGGTTGGATCTATTTTGCATAACTACATCCAATTATGTATTACTAGGAAAACTCGCGGCTTCGCTCGCGCTAAAACTACAAAAACACTCTAAAAAGTTAGTTTCATACAAACTTTCATGCCCTATTTTATAGTATGAATTTTGAAAAATACTAAGGCACATATTTTTTTTTAATTTTATTGAAGAGCGTATACCAAGTTTCAAGTAATTCTGATCATAAATATTTATTTAGATTGTATTATAACGTGTTTTCCCGTGGGAATTAAGTAATCTCCCGCAATAAAAAGTAGCCTATGTCACTCTCCATCCCTCCAACTATCTCCACACAAAAAATCACGCCAATCCGTCACTCCGTTTCGACGTGAAAGAAGGACAAACAAACAAACACATTTTCATATTTATAATATTAGTATGGACTAGCAGAACCAGCGGTTTCGGTCGCGTTGAAACTACAAAAAAATCTCCTTGGCTTTATGCAAAAGGTATTTTTGAAACGGGTTCAGCAGCTTCTGAGCGTATAGTACTTAAACATATTATAAACATCAGTTTTACAATAGGTAATAAATAGAAGTCTGCCCGATTTGTTGACTTTTATGATTACTGCTCCGCTCCCTTTTGATTGAACGGGCTATCTAATGCAAAAATATTTTTTCATATCGGCTTAGTAGTTCCTAAGATTAGTATAAATTATAGCATATATGTTACTTTGATTTATAAGATATATTACTTTAAAGTTCCATCAAAATCCGTTCAGTACTTTTTGAGTTGTATTCATAAATATACATTGTAACATCATATCTGGTAAAATAGATGAGAGGTGAGTATTATCGGTTTTATAGGGGAGAGATTTACACTCCATAATATCTTGGGAACGTGACACCTTAAGTCATTATTGCTGATATTTTTGTTTGTTTGTGTGTTTTCTATTCAAACAAACCATTTTTATCGTTGTTCGTTGTCCATTTTTATAGTTTTCTTCTTGAGACAACTAATATCAGTTTGTGGTCGGCCACGAAATTTGATAGCTTATACAGCAGCGAGAGTTGAATTAGACATTTATATTAGCACTAGCAACTTACCCTCGCTTCTCTCGGGTGCGTCAATAGGTACGCAGATTTTATTCACAATTTGAAGGATTTTTAATTATTTTGCACGAAACTCTATTTTTTTCCAAAATAAAAGTAAATTACTCTTTATAACATCAGCTATCTGCCAGTGAAAGTCCTGTCAAAATCGGTACAGCCGTTTAGGAGATTAGCCGGGACAAACAGGCACACAAAAAAATCATTGTTTTGTTTTCTTATAAATACCATTTATAGTTTCATATGCATTTAGTAAAAAACTGTTATTTTGACATTACAAACAGGCACAACTTTATTATATGTATACTAGGTTTATTCCCCATACAAAATTTCATCCGCATTTTCACCCCCTTAAACGATGATATCCGGGATAAAAAGTCCTATGTCCTTTCCAGGGTCACAAACTATCTTCTTACCAATTTTTATCTAAATCAGTTCAGTAGATCCAGAGATAACCACCTACAACGTCACAAACTTACAATTCACAAACTTTACCTCTTTATAATATTAGTATACTCGTAGATATATAATGCTTCACGCTTTAACGTGATGTAATATTATAATTTACTATTGGTTTGCTTTCTACCTGGGCGCGTCTCTAGGTGCCTAACAGCCTATGTGTTAATTCAGGTCAGACTCAATCTGTGTACTAAGTTTCATTCAAATCCGTCCAGACATTTCAGTGTGAGAACGAACAAACATACACACCTACAAATTTTCTCAGAATAGTAGTCAGATCTAAGTTCAAGGTACAGCATCACGCTGTGACGTTCGAATTTATAAGTTAGAATCACGTTAGAATTTATAAGACTACTAGCGGCTCACCCTCGTTTAGCGTGAGTTCGCCTCCAGAAAAACAAAACAAATCTATTCCTCGGAAACCGTATATTTTTCCGGGATAAAAAGTAGCCTATGTGTTATTCCAGACTATAATCTATATCTGTACCAAATTTCATCCAGATCCGTTCAGCCGTTCTGACGTGAAAGTGTAACAAACATCCATACATACTCACAAACTTTCACATCTATAATATGTAATACCAAATAATACCATTTCAACCCACAGCTAGCCTCACAAAATAGCAGACGACGCAGTATGGAGCATCTACGTCGTCTCACACGAGAGTTGCGAGCAGTCAGAGCATGCAGAGATGACGCGTTAAGTGAAAGAAGAGCTTTAATTGAGTCTAGAACAGAATTACGGGAAAGCTTCTATTTGCTAAGGAATCATATTTTACAGGTATGTTGAGAAATTACGCGGGATTCGAAGGTTTGGCGGGATTGAGGATTTATTTAGGTCTGTTAAGGAAGACTATATAGGTCGGTTTAGTTGTTTGGACATAGTCCGTGGGATTGGAGGGTGAGTTTGGACATATAAGATCGTAGTTATTAAGTTAAAATAACAAAAATTTTGAACAACAGTCAGGACTGATTACTTGGACCACTGACCTCCAAATCTGGAATTTAATTGACTAAATAGAGGTACTTAAATTAAGTAAATTCTGGTCTGGGCTTAAGATTAGAACCGAGGATCTTTCCACTTAGAATCCTCTTCTACAAAATCTACTTATATCAGTCTATTTTTATATAGAACTAGTAACTTACATCCCTAGGTACGTTATAATTTTTTTGAGCTGAACCCTTATTCTTTTTCTAAAGCAAAAGGCGCCTAAGTTACTCTTTATAACATCAGCTATCAGCCAGTCAAAGTCCCATCAAAATCAGTCCAGCTGTTTCTGAAATTAGCCGGAACAAACAGACAGAAAACAAAAAATTAAAAAATTGTTATTTTCTAATAAGAACTGTACATAATTATTAATTTTGTATGTTTTTAAGCTATTTTATTTATATTATTTAGTAAAAAGCTTTTATTTCGATACTACAGTCACACAGACACTTCAATTTTATTTATGTATAGGTATATAGATGAGCCTCTAACTACCAATTTTTTTTTTCAGTACCTCAAAGATAGATCAGACCCAACAGAAGTACCAGACATAGACCCAGAAGTACCAAACATAGACCCTCCCTTACCAGACGCAAAATTAAAAACAGATTATCGAGATAAAACAATTTTTGAATGTCGTATAGAAAAACTCGTCCAACAGAGCGTGAACCACATTTACAAAGAGAGCAAAGAGAAAGAGACGAGAGTGTGTGCTAAAACAGTGTTTTTGGACTCCATCAAATGTAATAAGAGTGAAATGGAGGGAGTTTTGAATCTCTGTGTGAAGGAGAAAAGGAAAGGACATGGGAGAAAGCAGTTGGCGCCAAGAAGGATCGCGTGTTATACTAATAGTGATGGTGAGTTAGTTAGTTTGTTCAGCGATAACTTTTTTTTTAACCTTGGGAAATGCATTTACGCACGAGGTGTGGGACTCACCGGCAAAGCCAGTACTACCCACTAAAACCCAACAAAACCTTCCCCCGTCTTAATGGGGCGTCGCAGGATCGCTTACGCATTCAACTACGACGCCCCGACGGCAGGTCTGCCGAAGCAGACCACAACAACCATGGCGTTGCTCCAAGGTCCATTCTGCTATCATACCTATACATAGAAGTACCAGGAGCAAACCGCATGGTACACCGCTCATCGAAGAGGGCCACCACCGCCCATCGAAGTGGGCCACCTCCCTGTGCGCTTCTTGGCTTCGCGCCCGACTGGTTAGCCGGGCACTACTGAGCCCCTCCACCACGACAAGGTGAACGCACGTTGGGGGGGTTGTCCAGCGATAACTGATCAACCATACAATGTTTTACTCGTGTGTTTTAATGGCAGTTTAGTATACTTGTAATGTAAGCATCGGACTAACCTGTGTAAATATTATAAATGTGAAAGTTTGTGAGTGGATGTTTGTTACTCTTTCACGCCAGAACGGCTGAACAGATCGAGATAAAATTTGCCACACAGATAGATTATAGTATGGAATAACATTTAAGTTACATTTTATCCCTGAAAAATGTACGGTTCCCGTGGGATAGATTTGTGTTTGTTTTTCTAGAGGGGAAACCGAGCAAAGTGGGGGTGAGCCGCTAGTATTTATATAAAAGCTACTATTAGTTTGTAATTATGCAATTAAATCGATAGAAATCGATTTTACTTTCAATAGTTGTGTTGATTTAAAACATTATAAGGAATAATATAATTTGACACCATCTCACCATTGATATATAAAAACCTAGATACACATTTCCTAACAAATATCTCTCTCATCAAAAAGTGTCGTCGACATGTGACGTTAAGTCAAACCAAAGAATAACATTCAAACATCGACAGTTCCTAATGTATAAACACAAACTCGAACTTACACACCACAAAAAGTACTTTTTTTTAAACAAAACAACATGCGTTTTGTGGGCTTCTTTTTGAGGATACTTTTGAGACGCTAATTAAGTTTTTGTATATCAATGCATCTCGCTGTGCTGATGTGGAACTCTTCAATTGCCACTGGTTACACTGCAGAGTGTGGACTTGTTTGATTGGTATGACAAGTTTCATACGTTATAAAATGTCATAAACGTGTTCTTTTAGGTTTTTAAAAAAATATATTATTATTTATCACTAGCGACTCACCATCGCTTCTCTCGGGTTCGTCCCTATATACGTTTTAACGGTTAGTATAGAATAGATAGGCTATATATTATATATACACATAGGTATGATGAGTTGTCTTATTGAAAAAAATTATAAATGTATTTCTTCTTGTATAATAAGCACAGATTATTAAATTGAATACTACAATTTTCAGATGGCGTCCTCGATTTGAAAATAAAAAAAGAAAATCAGTGACGTTGTATGAAAAGACGTAATTTTAATATTATTTTAGCAATTACGATTAGTACCAAAAATATTATGTTTAATTGACTTGCATAGATAAAAAATATTTTTAACGTGTCATAAATATGTTTGAACTATCTGTGGTTCTGTTTATAATCTAGTTATAGTGTATGTATTATTGTTTAAAAAAATTATTGATATATTTCATTGAATATACTAAAGAAATTAATATTTATATGTACATATAAAAATATATAAAACGTTGAAATTTGCTAAGACATTTTTGATAGAGAAAATGACATATACATACATATATTCACTTAAAATTATTTATTTTTTTAAATTGCGAACTTGATACAAGTGTTTTAACTAAATTTATTTAAACAAGAAAATAAAATTAATTATGTAATATATTTGTATTAAAAACTTTTTAGTTATTGTCAAAATTATGACATAACTTTTGACAGTTGCAATGAACAATATTGTAACTCTGTATTAAAAAAGAATGTTTTCTTTTTTTTTTTTGAAAAAAAAAGACACCTGAGCCAAATCTTTAGAGCCGTTTCCGAGATACATGAAATAAATTTATATTATATACAAGAATTGCTCATTTAATATTAAATATGCTGTTCATTTGCGGCTGGACCGATTTGGATATTTTTCTTTTAATGGAAAAAGTGAAACGGATTTTTAGGCAGTTGCCAATGGACAGAGTGACTCATGACGAAGGTTTAAGTGTATAATTCATTAAGATTTTGAGTAAATTGGATGAAATATGATGGCGATCGAAAAATCATGCCGACTGAGAGCTTTATTGGCGTGCGCCGCGTCAACTAATAAAGTTATATGAAAACAATGTATTATAAAATAATTCCTCTTAAAAAGATGTATTAAACTATAGCAACGCTATATGTACGTACCTAGGGACGCAAGTCACTAGTTTTTTTATATATTTAAAAAAAATGCCAACCCTAAGGATAGTAACGTATTTAAAGAAAAAATCCGAGTAAAAAGTCTGTGGGTTAAATCAGTTTTTTAAATTATAAAATTATTTTTTATCTATGCTAGTTTTAAAATTGTATATTCTATCGAAGTTCCAACGAAACGATGCGGATTCGATCTGGCTTTTGACAAAATAATTTTCTACAATAACTATCACTAATTGATAACTAAAAAATCTATGGGAATGAGATATATAGGGGTTATATCCATAGACGACAATAATGTACTGAGCAATATTCTCATGATTTATTTTGATTTTTGGTTCCCGACGTTTCGAATGCTTTACAGCATCCATGGTCACTGAAGACTCCGACGCGAAAATATCTGAAAAAGATAATGTTATTTAAAATCTAAGAAAGTATTAAATAATTTTTATTGCAGTAATATCTATCTAATATATTTTTTATATAACATCTATATGTTATCTAACCATCGATCAAAAAAATACTAGATACACAATCCCATGCAAAAATTCTCTTAAACCTGTCACCGATTGTGTTTAGGTAATTATTTTAATTGAAATAAATATACAACAATGTAAATTAAACCTTAAATGCAATGCTTAAAGTTGTTTTCACAAAAAATATATATTAAAAGCGCGCTCAAATGTTTAAATGAGCGCTCATTCGGTGAGGACATTTTTTGTCGCTGATTGTGTATCTAGGTAGTACATTTTTGATCAATGTATCTTACCAATAGTTTATTTCTGAAGTTACCAATAGGTGGTGTTGGCCTATAAAGTAGAAAAAAAATAAAAAAAACGAACAAAGCAAGAAGAATAATCTAGTTTCAATACATTTTTTTTTGTTTTCTATTAGCGATATCTAATATATATTGTAGAAAGTCAGTTTGTCTGTAAAATCTGGATTATAAATATTATGTATATATAGATATGTAGGTGCATGGACCATTTTTACAATTTGTCGAAACTGTCGAATTTATAAAGTTACGTATAAATATATTTATCATTCAACTATAAGATTTTAAATGTTTATATTTATAATAAAAATATTTCTTGATTGTATTATATATTTTTAATATTTTTAATCTGTATCATTTTATTTGGCAATTAATTGTCTTTGAGAATGTCTGGAATTAATTTAATACAGTCTTATAAAGAAAAAAAACTCGTGTGTGTGTACTTATGTACGCACGTAGGAAGTTATACTTCTTTGTCGTAACAGAACAAAAATAGCCAAATATTTCATCCCGTATGTCACAACTCTCTGTTTGTAAAAGGAATGCAGCTAACATCATGTCGCTTTCAGCTAACTTCATCATGTCGTTTTTTGGATGTCGGTGTGCGCGCTGTTAACACACTCGTAACAGCGCGCATCTTAAAAATTTTGCTCTCATATTTTTTTTACAAACGTCGCAAAAGAAGTATAACTTCAAAAAGATGTAAATTTTAGAATGGATGGTAATAAAACATATATTTATATACTTTTCTTTCGCAGCGCAACTTCAAGAGGTAAAAGTTAAAGAAATTGTTATTTTTTGCTCTTAATGAGATTTGATGTTATTATAGACGTTGTAAAGCATTGATATACAAAAACTCAAGGTACATAATTAGTGTCAAAAATGTCCTCAAAAAGAAGTGCACAATTTGAAATTGTGCGCTTTTATCAAATCTCTTTTGTTCATTGCTTTTCGGATGACAGGATTAAAACGCGCGTTGTTTCGTCTAAATATAGATTTAGTAAAAAAATATAGAACCACATTTCCTAACAAATATCTCTTAAAAATGTGGCGTCGACATGTGACGTTGAGTCAAATCAAAGAATAACATTCAAAAATCAAAAGTTCTAATTGTCTAAACACAAATTCGAACTTACGCACACCACATAAAGTACTTTTTTAAACGAAACAACGTGCATTTTAATTTAGTTATCCGATACAGCAATGAAGAAAAGAGATATAAAAAAAGCGCTCAATTTTAAATTGTGCGCTTCTTTTTGAGGACACTTTGTGAGACACTAATCATGTATCAATGTAAAATCGTTATATTTAAACATATACATGTAATGTTTCAAATTATCTGGTAAATTTTATATGAAAAAGCCGTATCCTGACAGATCTTATATATTATATACCTACGTTATAAAAAAGCACCAAAATAACATAAGTTAATATTATCTGTATTTTATAGTTATTATTTAGTTAAATAGGATTTATACAAGAATTTACAAGTAGTATCTTAAGAGTTTATGATGTGATGTTGATTATTTGAATAAATTAGTTACCCGGAGTACTTTTTTTTTAAAACAAGCGACTTAACCTCTTTTCGCTCGGGTGTGTCCCTGTACGTTTTATTGTTTGTTTAAAATTTCATGGAGTTTAATTGTTTTGCGCAGAACTCTTTATTCTTTTTCTAAAACAAAATTTATTCTTTGTAACATCAGCTATCTCCCAGTGAAAGTCGCATCAAAATCGGTCCAGCCGTTTCGGAGATTAGCCGGAACAGACAGACAAACAGACAATATTTTTTTTAAATTGTTTTTTTTTCTTATTAGTACCGTATATCGAATAGTAAAAAAAAAATGCATTTGAATGTATATTTTTTGTGTGTATTTGAAGATGGGTTAAAAAAAACAAACTTGAGAGTGTAGAGTGAAGTACATATTAATATCACATAACTATTATAAATGCAATAGTTTGTATGTTTGTTTCTCGTTTACTCCGAAACGATGATTACGATGAAATGTAGTACACACATGGACTATTAACTTTTTTTTATGTAGGGAAATGCATTTACGTATGCTACCTGCATACATACAGGTGGTTCTGTAGGACGGACGAGAACTTCCCTCATCGTAATGGGGCGTCGCAGGATCGCTTAGCAGACCATAACAACCATATATGGTTTTTTGTTGTTGTTTTGTTGTTGGAGCAACTCATATGGTACCACAGTCCACGGAGGAGTGGATATTTAAATAATAATCTGTTGCAATATGTATGTTCTTTTTTTTTCTCAATATGTATGTTTGTCCTTGTTGCTTGTAACCCTACTACAGCTACCATCCAAGTGCGTTTCTTGGCATCACGCCTGGCAGATTTGCTGGACGTTAATGAGCCCTTTACCACGGCAAGTTGGTCGCATATCGGAGGGAAGATAAACTTATGATCTAGGATAACACATACTTGATACTGCCGTCATAAAAAAGAAGGCCGCAACTTCGTTAAAGTTGGTTTCGAGAGGTTTGAAGTTTTGTCTCAGTACTTAGTAGTAGTTTATAAGTAGTTAAGATGAAAATGGTTATGGTATCTCCGGATTCATAAGACTTAGAGCTTTATCAAGTAGCATTTTTTTTTGCTGATTCCGAATCTGAATTTAAGTTTTTTTTTGACCAAATTGTTAGTTAGTGCCTTATTTATTACTAGCATTGTCCGCGGCTCCGCTGGCGTTCAGATGACTAAAAACCAAATTCTTAAGTTTTTGTATTTTTTCTCAGTAATGAGACATTTTCTCGCTGTAAAAAGTATCATAAATATAAATCCTATATGTTGACACGGATAACCAGCTATTATCATACCAAATTTCATTAAAATCCGTCCAGTGGTTATTCCGTGATGCGGTCACAGACAAATAGACACAGAAAAATTCTTATTATATAGATTCGGCCTCTGCATCGACAATAATGAATATTTCAATAAGATATTGCAAAAAATATTCAATGTACAGTTTCGACTCAGAATTTAATTATATTGTACAGATTATTTTATTTTTCTTAGCGCTACCTAGAATGTAATGCAATGAACTACGCCATTACAATGCCATCTTGTGTTCGATAGCATTATTATATTAAAATATTTTTTGTAAATATATTCATCTAAATGATTTTTATATAATTAAAGTATTTTTATAAATCAAACTTTAATTGATTTTGATTCTTATTTATTTATATTATAATTATATAAATAAAAATCATTTATTATTTTTCTCTCTATCTCATATTCTGGTAACACTATCCCTTCAAAAGCGACCTCTAGCGGTGCAAATCGGAAACTTTCCTTTTGTCTTCTTCAATCCAATATGGCGGTAAACGGTGTATGAAAGGTGTAGAATGTTTTGAATTGAAACGAGCAATAAAAAATCTGAAATAAACCGTCGAAACGCGAAAAAAATAGCAATGGCCGGTGCAATTTATTTAATATCGTGTTAAATATACGTTTAGTCCGCTATCCACGTGTGTTTTGTGTCAAAAATTGTGTTTTCGTGTAATTTTTATGTGGTATATTTCGCTAATGTCTGATACTGGACTATTGATATGTAATCATAGATCCTATAGATATGTCTACCTATGATAAATCTAGCTCGGGAAGTGAACAAACTGTGACCGATGCTAACGTGAGTTGCGATGATACTTGTGAGAAAAAAGAGAAAAAATTGAACAGAAAAGTGTGTTTTCCTCATGATGACCACCTTGTCACGCAGTACTTCGAGCCTGCCAACCCATGGCAAGACAGTAAGTTTTCATCTGCCTTTGGCAACATATCAATTATTTATTTATAAGGTTTCTTCTTCAATTTTAACTATTTCAATCCATACACAGTTTACTTTGAATGGGACATGCAAATACATACAAAAGAACCTTAGGTTTTGTTTTCATAATTACTTAGAAATCAAACAACTACATATTTTATATATAAATATTGATATTTTTTATCTTTGTGTTTATGTATTTAAATTATCATTTATGAATAATTAATTTTGTTTATAGTTTTGATATTTTATAGTCATTCTAATTAGATATTGAATAAGAATAAGTCGATACAAAATTATTTATTTATAATAAAAATGTCATAATTATACAATTTATTGCTAATTTATACCTGTATACATAACAAAAAATTTCCAATAACTAAGCATCAATGAGACCAAATTGGCATAACCTAGACAATAGAAATTTACTCAGTGTATTTCAATAAAAAGAAACCATAAGATTTTTGTGATGGTCTCTAATCTATAAATAAAATTGATGTCAAAATAACACAATTTTTAGAATTTTTGTCTGTCTGTTTGTGCTGCCTTATCTCCGAAACGGGTGGGCCGATTGAAACGGGACTTTTACTGGAAGATAGCTGATTTATAAGGAGTAACTTAGGCTATTTTAATTTAGATAAATGATTAAAGTCCCACTCAAAAAAATTAAAACTTACTGGTCGTAGATGACTGTTTTTTTGTTGCTATGTGTAACATAACAAGTGTATATTATTCAAAAGAATGTGATATGGATAATTTTTTCAAATGGAACCTGTAAAATAAATAAAAATACTGTCAAAATATTCTTAGAAACTTGGTGTGTTCTTATAAAATTATAAACCATTTAAATATGTTGAATAAAAATGTTGGAACATTAACACACAGCACCATCTAGTTCCATGGTAAGCTACGAGGCTTACGTTATGGATACTGAGTCAAAAATAGCCTATATTATGTTAACTTAAGATATAAATTTCATTCAAATTGATTAAAGCTAGGGCAAGTAGTATATACATTTTTTTTTAATTTATTATAATACTAGCAACTCACCCTGGCTTTGCTCGGGTTTGTCCCTATGTGATTCTTTAAATAGACACAACCTTTTTGTTTATGTAACGATTGAAATAAAACAACATAATAAATGTTAAAAGCTTACCACAATACACTAGTGAAAACAATACACAAAGGAATAGACAAACAGACAAAAATTCTAAAAATCATGGTTTTGGATTCTATTGTGATAACAAAGGCCCCAATAACAGTTTTTCTCAAATATCTTTAATGTACAGAAAGCGAGAAGGTACATTTTTTTATATGTATAGATTTCCTATAATTTTATTAGTGACTCGTAGAACAGTTATTAATTATTTTTCCATTATAAAATACTGGGTATTGTTTATGACTTCTATGTGTGTATTTCTTTTTAGTCCAAGCGCTATTGAATCGCGCTTTGTATGAGAGCGCCTAGAGCTGGGATTTGAAGCGTGTTGAATTATACTATCGATTGAAATAAAACGTAGCTTAATTGTCATAATATATCATGCTAATAAAACGACGAATTTTTCACTTATAAGGTGTACCTTTTTGTTAAATTTATTTGGGACTGCACTATAAATATAATTCATTAAAAATAAAATAATAAAAAAACGTGTACTTATATGTATGTACGCACGTAAGAAGTTATACTTCTTTGGCGTAACAGAACAAAATTAGCCAAAGATTTCATCCCGTATGACAACCAACCCTCAACCCTCTGTTTGTAAAAGGAATCCAGCTAACTTCATCATGTCGCTTTTTGGCTGTCGGTGTGCTCGCGCATCGCATAAATTTGATACACAAAATGTTTTTCAAACGTGCCAAAATAAGTATACTTAACTTTAAAAAAAGCCGATTTAACGCAATTCGCGAAGTCTTAGAGAACCTAGCAAGTTGTCTAAAGACAAGTGAAGTCACCCAACACGCACTTGACCAGCGTGGTGGACTATGACTACGAATGTGTGGGGCATTAAACAGAAATCTGTGCCCAGCAGTGGGACAATAAGAGGGCTCAGTTATTATGCGTAAATTAAAAAAAATATATAATTATAAACATCCCATACTAATCGACCCCTATTATAAATGTGAAAGTATGTGTCAATATGTTTGTTATTTCTTCCCATGGAAATGGCTGGATGGATTTTGATGAAATTTAGTATACAGATAGTCTATGACCTGGAATAACTTTTAGATTACTTCTAGGCCCTTAGAGTTGACCGTGGTTGAGTGCGTAAGCGATAATGCAAAGCCCCATTAAGACGGGGGAGGTTCTGTTGGGTTTTAGTGGGTAGTACTGGCTTTGCCGGTGGGTCCCACACTTCGTGCCTAAATGCATTTCCCAACGTTAAAAAAGGCCCTCAAAGACACATCCGGCCTAGTTATAAAGTAAAGCATTTGCATACGAAACCGTAGGCAGAATATATAGTTTTTAAATATTTTTCACCTGTATGTAAAATGATACCAAGAAGTTTGTTTGGACCATTGGCAATGTTTCAACTAGATACTGTTGAAAATCAATTTGAATTATATTCTATTCTATACTATTAATAGACTTTACTACATGGGTTTTTAGCCGACTTTACAGAGGAGGTTGTTTTAGGTTTCTTTAGGTTATAATTTTTCAACATCTATACATAATATAATAAAATTCTAACTGAGTCGAATCTGTACATTAAATATTTTTTTAGAGAATCTTATTGAAATAGTCATTATTATCGATACAGAATTTTTGTTTGTCTGTCTGTTACCGCATCACGAGAAAACTACTTGATAGATTTTGATGAAATTTGGTATGATGATAGCTGATTATCCGGGTCAACATATAGGATACTTTTTACTGCGGGAAGATATCTCATCTCTGAGAAATCTATACTAAACGTTAAAATGTAAGTAAGGACGAACACGGGCGGAGCGAGGGTGAGTCGCTAGTATTTTCATAAGATTCACTTAATTGTTTCTATTACTATGTAATCGCACCTGCCATAATACTTTCTTATATTTACGCGATATTTAACATTTTACTTAAATAAAACTATTTTGCTTTTTTTTCTGCTTGAGATTTCGGTCTTAGCAGCATTAGCTGAGTTATTACCCTTTGCCATTTATAAGTTACTTCAAGCTTTACTGATTCTGTTAAAATTTTTTACTCTTTTTATGGCAATAAATCCTTTTTTTTTTCGCGGATTTATTTTCACTCACAGTGTAATCTATACTAATATTATAATAATGCAGAGTTTGTTTGTTTGTTTATGTATTTGTTTGGTTGTTTGAACGCGCTAATCTCAGGAAGTATTAATCCGATATGAAAAATTCTTTTTACATTAGATAGCCCGTTTATTGACGATATATATCATATAATATATAGTCTATCTATTCCATACTAACCGTTAAAACGTACCTAGTGGAGGAACCCGAGCGAGACGGTGAGACCCTAGTAACTATATATTCCTTTTAAGCGGTCTAAAACCTTACCCTCTCCCGTGACCATGTGCGTTGTTGTAAAGCATTCGAAATGTCGGGAACCAAAAATCAAAATGAATCCCCGACTTTGCGACGTAGATTTAAGCCAACTTCCAGCTTTCGATATTTTGTACGTGTAGTATGTAAATATAGCTAATCTGATGATGGAGTCAGTGGAACTCTTCAATGGCTTCCAGTAGTAAAATCTTTGAATTTGGGCTCAATTCGTTTTGTGGACTCTTATACGTTGCACATGGTTTGAAGCGTGTTTTTATTTCAGTCTAAAACTATCACAATTATTGCGTACTATCGTTTTATAGGCGCAGCTGTGGTAGCCCAATGGTAACGCGCTCGCTTGGGAAACCGAGTGAACTGGGTTCAATTCCCGGGTCTCGTTCCATTCAGTAGTTTTTGCGTGAAAGAGTAACAAACATCCGTCCATCCTCACAAACTTTCTCATGTATGTATAAGTAGGATAGGATTAGTAACTTAACCGCCGACCTCGTGCGTAAGCGATCCTGCGACGCTCCATTAAGACATGGGAGGTTCTGTTGGTTTTAGTGGGTAATACTGGCTTTTCTGGCCGATAGATCTCACATAACCACCTGTATGCAGGGCTCGGAACCGGTTTAAAAAAGAACGGTTATTTCGGTAATGTAATGGTTAATTCATCGTTCGTTCTTTAACCGGTTAATGAAAACGAACGGTTTTAGTAAACCGAAACAATAATGGTTAACGGTTATTCTTAGAGAAATGTTATATTTCTGTTTTGATACTGAAATAAACCGGTTATTTCATTCATAAGTAAGAAACGTGCATGCATACTTCTAGTAAGCCATTCACCGTTAGCAAAGACGCGCCAATTGTAAACACACAAAAACTCATTTTAACCGGTTAATTTTGTTCATGGAATCTAAATTCATCCAAAACTGTTCTCCCAGATTTAGCCGGTTAAACAACGAAACCTTAAACCGAAGCCATTCGTTTTGGTTTCAATGGCCAAAACCGGTTCAAAAAATAACCGATTTCCGAGCCCTTGTACGCAGGTGGTATGTTGTTATTAAAAAAAAAGTTAGTTAATGTTAAAAAAAAAGTATGGCTATGCTAAGAAAAACTGACTTTTCGAATATCCGATCCATCTAGTTTTTGTAATTTTTATATTGCACATTTTCCTTTTTATCATTGTAACTATTCTCCACAATCCCGGATTTCGTCACCTACGCCCACTTACGTATAGAAGTACATAATTTACGCACTCGATTGCGAGTATCGAACTTTGCCCGGCTTCGGTGATTCACATCGTATCTCGTGAGACGAATTGTCTGAGGTGGTTTGGCTCGAAATAGAAAATGGCTTTTTGATGTAAAACCTTGACGGAAATGAGCTGTTTGTTGACTTTATTTATAGAATCTCGCGGAATCTTTCTATTCTGAATATGTTTTTAATTTTTTTTTCTTATGGGACACTAGTGATTTAACCTCACTTAGC